GGGCCGCAGTTGGCGGGTGGGCCGTGGAAATGCCCTCCAGAGGGAAGCAGGAGAGCTTTCCACCCGGGGCCATTTCAGCTCCCATCCAGGGAGGGGAAGAACGTTTCTTAGTAACGGGGCTTGAATTTTTAGACAGGGTCTTGCTTGCTGCCAAGGCTGGCCTCAAATTTGCCGTCCTCCTGCCACAGCTTCCGGAGTCGCCGGGATGACGGGTGCGCCACCGCGCCCGGCGAGGAAAACTATTCTGAGTACATTATTTCGGGAAGATAGTAGGTTAGGTTCCTGTAGCCCCCAGCGTGCAGACACTAAACCAGGCTTCTGTGCAGATCCACATCAGCGTTAGGGTCAGGGCAGTAGAACCTCTCAAGCACCTTGGGAATGTGTGGCATGCAGTGTCCACCTGAGTGACGTCATTAAGGAAGCGGTGGCCGCTTCCCCTGGTACAGCGTGGACCCGTTTCTTCGCTGCACGCACAGGTGACTTCACTCCAGCGTTCACCACGAGCCTTTTTTTTGCGACACAGGGTTGCACTCAGCTGTGGAGGCTGCCTTGAAAACTCGACTTCCTTCTCAGCCTCCGGAGTCACTGAGATCACAGGCGTGGCTCACCACACCTGAGTAGTACCTTTGTAGGTGACAAACTTCTCCAGTATTAGGTCTCTAATAGGTGGCTGGCTTAAATCCACTTTCCTAGAGTTCTGCCAGGTGAAGCTACAGTTGGCCCCAAGACGTCCTCCCGAGTGAGGAAGGGCAGGAATTCAGGAAGTACACAACTAGAGGAGCTGCTGACCCCAGCTCCCGTGCTTAATGTTCTGAGCATACCGAGTAGTAATGGGCTTCTCTTTCTTCAGTTTTCTTTTCAGCAGGGTGGATGGGGAGCATCATTGGCTGACAAACTGGTCAGGTGAGAATAGTTTCTAGAATAATACTGGGTATTTACTGATGGTAAATGTCAACTCAAAGTGAACGATACCACGAATTCTTTATTAATCTCTGCTTTCCTTTCTTAGTCAATGTATGGTTAGAGAAACAGAAAGGGCAGCCACGCAGGATTCATCAAAAAGCTTTGGCACCATGTGAAATCAAACATAAAAACTGTGGAACCAAAAATTTTGACTGTTTGCCGTCTAAAGAAAACTAGTCGTTTTTTCAGTTATGATGGGTATGATTTAAATTAGTGGAGGTAGATAGAAAAAAATCATTTTTAAAAAACTCAAAGTTGGATTCATTTTGAATGGAATGGTATACCGAACCCATATTCTTCTAGTAGGTAGATACCTATCAGGAACTAGGAAGCTCTATGGTGAGCAAGTGTTACCTCAAAGGATCGCTGGCCTGTTGAATGGCATCTCCATTCACTGCTGTGAGACCAGAAAAATTCAAGTGCACCCTCGAGGTAGGATAGATAGTAAAATGGTCAGGTAGTCAAGATAATGGGCCCCAATTAAGGCTCTTTTCAATTGTACCTGTTCATGAGAATAATCAGAAACATTCCAGCCAAACCTAGTCCCTGGAAAATGGAAGTGGAGGTGGGCCTTAATGGAGATGATAGGAAAATTCAAACTAAGGGCTAAAAGAGCACAGCCAATTAGGTAGTTTCCAGACAAACCAATAGCCTAGATATTTTTCCAGTGCATGTTCAGCATAGGTTTTGACTAATAGCATTAGAACTGTTCCAAGCATAGATGTTGAGTTCCCCCACCCAGCAACTATATAAGCCCCAGGCTAGTACATTAAAGTGGCAACCCTAGCCTGGTGTAGTGGTACATTCTTGTAATCTCAGCAGCTTAGGAGGCTGAGGCAGGAGGATTCGAGTTCAAAATCAGCCTCAGCAAAATCGAGGTGCTAAGAAAGTCAGACCCTGTCTCTAAATAAAATACAAAATAGGGCTGGGGATGTGGCTCGGTGGTAGAGTACACCTGATTCAATCCCCAGTCCAAAAAAGGAAAAAAAAAAAAAAAAGGCACCCCTTTTGGTTTCTTTTGTGCTACAGGAGCTCTGACTCTTTTCATTTTAATAAATCCTACTCTTATCTGAATTTCATTCTTCAAATTCATGAAACAAGATCCTGAAAAGGAGGTACTGGCAGGTGGCTGGGGTCTGCTGTAACACTATAGCAGCAGAGGCTGCTGTTTCATATCAAATGAGTTCTGAGTGACACATTCAGTGGTTATCTCTGCATGCTTGGGGGTGAATTTTTGTAGTAGGTTCCTATGTTTGCTTCAGCCATCTGCACAACCCTGAACTGTTCCTGATGTTTTAGTTTAACCTAATCTTATTAAGAAATGCCTTATTGTAACTATCCATCTGTACTGCCTCCATGGACACCAGTGAATTTTAAAATACAGAATTAAGTGTACAGTCCTCAGCCCATAGTGACAACCATAAGTTTTTAAACAGGCTCTTGTAAACTCATAGCAAAAAGCATTTTAACAAAATTTAAATTTATCGGTACATTTTCATACTTTTTAAACAATATCCAAGTTTTCTGAAACCCAAAATGCTGAGTTTGAAAGAGTTAAACTCACCCTTTTCAGTTTTTAAAAGCTGCTGTTTCTTTTGAAGATGTGTGGTTGTCTACTGTCATTCATAAAGCACCTAATTTATTTTTCTGGAAAGCAGGTTGTACTTCTCTTTCTTAGCATTAAGGATTGAACTCAGGGCATTTTGACACCCTGGACACTTTTAATTTTGAGGCAAGGTCTTGAAATTGCCCAAGCTATCTTGACCTGTGATCCTTCTGCTTCAGCAGGTGTGCACAGTATGGAATGCAGTTTGTAGGACCTGCATGTTTTTGAAGGAGTCTAGATAATTCTTATCCTTTTTCATCTTTATATGGATTTAAGTTCCTGTTATTATCTATGATTTTATATGCAAGTTTTTGATTTTCCTGTTTCTTTAGCCTTTTGAATAACTTAAGATACTGCTGACTTTTTTTATTCTACCCAGAGAAATTCTGATATGCTTCTCTTTTGGAAGGGAATCTTTTAACACTTTCAACCCTGGGCCTCACTGGTACTTTTGTCCTGGTCTTGACTCCCAAACGATCGTATAATGATATATATATTTTTAAATCTGACTGCCAATTATTGAGCTCCTTATGTGTGTCTAGCCTTTACATTTAATTTTCACTCAGCCTGGCAGATGAGAATTAGTCCCTGGCCAGTGCCTTCTTGTTAGTCAAGGATGGGAAAATCCAGGCACAGCTGCTAGGATTCCAGACCTTGTGGTTGTACTGCTATGACTCTGTCTTATGAAACTGTTTTGCCTTTCTTAAAAAGAATGTGTCCTGGGGAGAGTTGCTGGGAATTGAACCCAGGGCTCTTGCATGCTAAGCATACATTCTATCACTAAGCTACACCCCTAGCCCTGCCCTTTGTCTTTGAAATGCTACAGTGACTACATCATTGAACATACCCACTTCGTTAAAATTCTAGAGAACTTACATTTTAAAGTGTTGTGGCTGGATTCTAAATGGCTTGTTAGCTTCCTGGAATCTTTACAAATAAAAACATTCAGGCTCATTTACAAATAAATATGGCTGGGTTTTTTGTTGTTGTTGTTCCCAAGATGTACAAATGCTACTTGAGAGCTTTCAGAGTAGGTCCATGAAAATGAGACTCTTCCTGCTGCCTTCCTTGGAGTCTGCCGCCTGGCACTGCAGACTTCAATTACTGGTACTGCAATTTTTTCATTTTATTGTTTTACATGTAAGAATTTGAACCATATACCAAAATGAACACCAGTTTTCTAATCATAAAGTTGAAACAGCAGATTCATTTTATTTATATATATTTTTGGTACCAGGGATTGCACTTGGGGGCACTAGACCACTGAGCCACATACCCAACCCTATTTTGTATTTTATTTAGAGACAGGGTCTCAGAGTTGCTTAGCACTCACAGTGGCTTTGAACTTGAGATTCTCCTGTCTCAGCCTCCCAGGCTGCTAAAATTACAGGTGTGTGCAACCGTGCCAGCTCATTTTATTTTAAAATGCAATTTTATTATCTATTCGACATAAATAATACTGGAAGTTGAAGCCGGGGGGCACAATCCTCCTGCTTCCAGTATGCTGGGATTCCTGGTGTGCACCAATACCTCTAAAGACCTTTTTATTATGGACAGCTTTTAATCATCTACAGAAGCAAAGGATATAATTATCCCATCCATCCTTCCCACTATGAATTATTCTGATATTATTATTTACCAAAATAACTTTCTTTTATGATAGAGCCCCTGTCATGTGACTAGTAACATCTAAGGTGTTCTAAAGTAGTGTGATCCTGAAGTGAGATTTCCCTCATGTCAGGGACACACTAGCCAAGGATGGATCTGGCATGTAAATCCCGGCAACCTGGTTCAAGAGCCATGGTTGTGTGTGTGTGTGTGTGTGTGTGGTGGTGGTGGTGGTGGTGGTGGTGGTGGTGGTATGGTGTGTTTTTTTTTTTTCTTCATTGTATCAGTCAAATCATTTTCAGCCCTTTTTATTATTTATTTTGAGATGGGTCTTGCTGAATTGCTGAGGCTGGCTTCGAGCTTGCAGTCCTCCTACATAAGATGCCCCAATTCTTGGGATCATAAGCATGTGCCTCCATACCTAGTTTGAGTCAAACTATTTTTAAGAAGGGGTTGGGGAGAGATGCCTGTTAATGAACTAGTTAAAAACTAATAATAAAATCATTTGAAACCAAAAATCTAAAATATTTCAAACACCTCAAACAAAATCATTGAGTTTCAGTTTGTTAGTGATTTTCTAAGATACTGTACTTGATCACATTAATATCCATCTGTTGTGAACAGTTTTAAAGTTATTCTCTATACTACCATGAAAGTCTTCAGACTAAATCAACCCCTTCAACGTAATTTATCACCTCCCTCTTTGAGGAGTATGGTGATTTACCTGTGTCCTAGAACTGACTTAAGAGAGATCAGCACGTTTCAACCCTGTACTTGATTTTACTGAAGTGAAAGCTGGGCTGGGTCAAAGCCACGTGCATGCTGGGATTAGAAGCCCAGCACACCCTTGCTAAAGTGGGCTACCAAGCAATTCTTTGCTCAGTTAAATCTTTTAACAATCTTTCATTTCAGAAGATGTGATGTTCTGAATCGTGGATTTTCAGGTTACAACACCAGATGGGCCAAAATTATTCTTCCAAGACTAATCAGGAAAGGGAACAATTTGGACAACCCAGTAGTAGTTACAATTTTCTTTGGCGCCAATGACAGTGCACTAAAAGGTAATGGCATTTTTGTTTTCCTAGTTAATTTTTAGTCATTTTAACATTAGAGCAAACTTGGATTTATATACTTTTAACTGTTTACTTATATTCCAAAAGAGAAAGTTTCACCAAACATATGCATTCCTTGAATTTGTTTATGTGGATTTCTTCTGGCTCTGCTGTGGATGGTTTTTATTCCCATCCCTCCATCGTTGGCAGACTTAAACTGCAACACTTTGTTTCTGGAGTCCATTAGTGTTATGCTGTATTTCCAGTGTTTCTCTTTTTGTGCGTGTTTTTATTTATATATAATCGGAAAGCATTACAATTCTTATTATATAGAGAGAGCACAACTTTTCATGTCTCTGGTTGTTACATAGTATATTCACACCAATTCTCTCTTTAGTGGGTACAGTTGGCAACAGGGCTCAAGATACACCCCTGCAATTTGCATTTCACTAGTGAAAAAGGATGTAAGAAATTTGAGGAAAATAAAGTAAATATTCCTTTTGCATTTTATATTGAATCAAAATCTTAAAAGAAATTTTAATGGTGAATTTTAATCATATGTGCAATAAGGATAAATACTTTCTAAGCACACAAGCAACTGAGGAAATTGCAAAGAAAAAACCAGTTTATTATATTTTGACATAGCTTATGTTGGAGCTGGGGTGTAGGTTAGTGTAGAGTGCTTGCCTAGTAGCATCACAAAGTCCTGGGTTCCATCCCCAGGGTCTCACTGACTTGCTTAGCACCTTGCTGAGCCTCCTGAGCTCTGGAATTACAGGCATGCGCCCGGGTTACATTTTAATTCTTTAAGGAGGAAACCTTTAACAGTTCCCCAGTGACTTCAAGAATTGTGTGCATGCCCTGAAAGTGGTTTCATTTTAATCATTGCCACTTTGAGCCAAAAAATTTGTCCTTTATGAACAGATGAGAATCCCAAGCAGCACATTCCCCTGGAAGAGTATGTTGCAAACTTAAAAAGCATGGTGCAGTACCTGAAATCAGTGGATGTCCCTGAGCATCGAGTCATACTCATCACGCCACCTCCGCTTTGTGAAACAGCCTGGGAAAAGGAGTGCATCATGCAAGGTAAGCCAGCCATGCCTAGAGGCATCAAACCTGGACACGAACACTCAAAAGACATTGGGAGGGCAGTACTTCCTGCTTGTGGGCCCTGTATTAGTCTGTTTTCAATCAACCTCCATTATGTCTTACCAATAACTTTGACAGAAAACGGCTTCTGGCTTTGGGTAAGTCAGGAAGGAACCACTGGCCTGGACTTTATAGTTGCCAGCTCCATCATACATGAAAGCCCATTGAGAGTGTGCAGAGAACTGGCAGGTTAGCTGCAGTGCTTTGAGAGATGCTGAGTCCAAGGGCTAGATATATATCCTGGGCACCTACTCAACATTTGTGGTGTTTTTCATGACTTCTTGGTATCGGGATGTTCTTGAAGCTGCTAGCTTTGCCCATCTCCTCATTAGGGGCCATGAGAGATGGCCCTTTCCACTCTGCCAAAAGAATACTCATCCTTTTTTTTTTTTTTTTCCTATTCTTCATCATTTGCAAGAAAAAGAATAATGGTATAAGATCTCTTTTGTGTAAAAATGTTTCTTCTATGTAAAGATGCTGTTTTCTCATGTTTACACTTATTTGGTTGAAAAGGTGCATTGTGGAAGTTTTCTAAGCTGCCTTAAACTCAGAGAACAGATTATCCTAGAACAAGTTAAAAGAGGCGAAACACAGGTGATCTGTCAATACCTGGGAAGAGTTTATTCTTTCCTTCTCTCAGACAGGAACTCAGGCCAGCAAAGGTATAGGTACTCCTTTATCTCCACCTCCATTTGCCCATTTGCTCCTGTTATAATCGCACATCTCCACCAGCTCTCACTGTCCTGCCCATACCCCTAGTTCTGCTGTGGCAGCCTCCTGAGCTTCTCACTGGCTTTAGCTCTAGCTCCACTCTCCTCTGATGGGCAAAGGATGAAGCAGCATGACATAGTCAAATATGCACAGGCAGCCATGAGCAGTAGCACACACCTCCCACCTATGCAGGAGGCTGAGGCCAATCTAGTCAACTTGGTAGGATCCTGACTCAAAACTTTGTAAACAAAGTTTTAAAAAGGAACCTGATGTGGGGCTGGGATATAGCTCAGTTGGTAGAGTATTTGCCTCGCATGCACAGGCCCTGGGTTCAGTCCCCCCAAAATAAATAAAAACAAGATGGGGCTGGGGAGTAAGCTCAATGGTACAGTTTGAACCCAGGAATGCTTGACTACTGAGCTACATTACTAGCCATTTTTTTTTTTTTTTTTTTTTTACATTTTTGGGTGCTGGTGATCAAGCCCGGGGCTTTTTGTGAATGCCATACAATCTTCAAGAAGGCGGGGGTAGAGCACATATACGCTGCAAGAATCTAGCCTTTCAATGATCTTACTGTTCCTATGATCAGGTGGGCATCATCAACATAGCAGAAAAATTTCAGCATGGTTAAGCAAGTTATTCAGTCACACAGCTACGTATAGGGCAGTTAATACGCAATTGTCAGGACTGTCCGGTTCTCAGAGGACAACTTTTTCCACTGTATTGCAGTGGCTTTTCCTTACCTGGGTGGGTCTCAGCACTGCATCTTCCATGGTCTTTTCTTTCTGGTGTGGTCCAAGACCAGGTCACCTCTGCCTTGCTCTCTAGCCCAGCAGCCCCAGCTCCCTGGGCCTTTCCTTCCTCTGTACCTCTGTTCAAGTCTTGTAGAATATCCTCCTCAGCTTCTCAGAAGGCTGTAGTTATCAGTAACAGCTCCCTCTTTTCCCACTGAACTTTGTCCTCTGCTGTGTAGAGCACTACGTGAGAGTAGCCTGTGAGACCCATCATTGTGATAACCAGACCCTGAGAGGGGCTATCATTGATGGAATTTAGAAACCACCGGGGTCCTCACAACCTGCACAAGGACCAGCACTTGTATTCAGTCACCTCCTGGATTTCCTCTCTCCAATAGGATGGAAAATAAATCGCTTGAACTCTGTTGTTGGTGAATATGCCAGTGTGTGTTTACAAGTGGCCCAAGACTGTGGGACTGATGTTCTTGACCTATGGACCATGATGCAGAAAGACAATGAGGTACAGTGACTTTGCTCAATCCTTCCAGGATGAGTGGGATCACAAAGAAGCCAGCCCTTTCAGCAAAAAGGGTGGGATAGCTTGGAGAAAGCAAGGTGCTGCATGAATTTACCTGGTTCTTCAACTAGGAGTTACTATTTAGTGACATAGAAAGTTAAGACTTATTATTAATAAGTAAAACAGTGAATTAAAAAAAGCAGCTTATGGTATTCGCTATACCATTCACAGCTTAAGACATGTAGTTCTAATTAAATTATTGTTTTAAAATAATGAAACCCCATTTACAAGTATAAAAGATAAAAAGCTAGTCCTCATGCAGAATGGTACAGGAACACAGCTGGACAGTTTCTTATAGTTACATATATACTACCAGAGGACCCAGCCCTCCAATCCTGAATGTACCCAAGAAATGAAAACCATGCCCCCAGAAACCTAGCATGTAACTGTTCATAGCAGCATAATGCATAATTGCCGGAAGCTGGAATCAACCTGTGTGTCCTTTGTGAGACGGTAAACTGGTTAAGCCAGTGCAGAGGTGGGAAGTGCTGCAGGAAGTGCAGCAGCCAGGATGAAGGCCAGAGGCATTTCACTGAAGGAAAGAAGCAAGATTTGAAAGGTTACATCTGTGATTCCATCTATGTGACATTTACAAAGTCAATACTGTAGTGACACAACTCATAGCCAGAGGTTAGGTGGGGAGCCTATGACAAAACTGAGGTCCTACATAGATCCCAGTGAGTGGCACAGGAGAGGCACAGTCAGACACAGGGCTTTCTTCCTCTTTTTTCCTTTTGTACTCACTTTTACACGTTAGTTAAAAGGCTTGTGCTACAGGGCACTTAAAAAGGCCATTTCTTTGCTCTGCTGAGACCTAGAGAAAACGATGACTGTGACAGGGACTGTGGCATTTGGAGTATCAGAGGAAAAGGATCCAGGGCATAGGAAGTTCTTTGAACAAAAAACTCAGCCTGACTCAGTTTACTCTCTTCATAGCCATTAGGTTTGGCCATCTGGACAAAAGAAGGTAGAAAGGAAACAGCCAAGAACTTACCAAACCAGATGCCAATTTTTTCCTTCCCACTTAAATTCATACCAGTCCTTCAAAAGACCCGGTGGTTTCTAACATTCACACACTTATTTTGTATATATAATGGGGACAATGGTAACCAGTAAGAGCCATACCACCATGTGGACAGTGAGCATTGCCAGTCATCTTTGGAGGTTCTCAGAGCCCAGCCCTGTACTTGAGTACATCACTGCCCTCCTAGCCTCCAGGCTGCTAATCCTGGACTGGATTTGAGTCTATTTGAGAGTCTTCTGGGCGCTCAGATTAGGAGAGGCCTTGGCTGCTTGAGTGCTGAAGGGTCAACATCCAGAATTATTTTAACCTAAGAATCCAACGTGGTGGTTGCAAAAAGTTGTGCTATAGAGGAAAAGACATCTTATTTACATTTTGGGGGTACTGGTGATTGAACCCAGGGGACTCCACCAGTGGGCTATATCCCCAGCCCTTTTTACCTTATATGAGGCAGGGTCTCCCCATATTACCCAGATTGGCTTCAAATTTAATGATCTTCCTGTCTCAGCTCCAGAGTAGCTGGTGTGTACCTCTGCACCTGACTGGAAAGGACATTTTAAAACACTTGGTTAGTTATGCTAACGAGTCATTTTAACACACCAGGATCCTAGAATGGAGGAAACATCAACCATCCAGAAGAGGATACTGAGGTTTAGGGAGAAGCACTGCTGGAGTCTATGATCTTGGTCTGTGAAAGCCATATAGCTTTTCCAAGCAAACTCTAAAGTGCATTCGGCAAGAGCCCTTGCCTGGCCAAGAGTTTTCTGTAAGGGAGAAATGGCTCTGAGGGTGGCTATTAAGGGGAGTGGCAGTAAAATAGGAGTCGTAGCCCAATAATTCTTGTTCTCAGTTGGATTGTCATTTCCCGAAAATCTTGCCTAAGAATCACATGAAACTGACTTACTAGGACCCCAAGGTATTTTTAAAATTTTCCTCGTACTAGGGATTAAATTCAGAGCCCTGAGTGTGCTAGGCAGGTGCTCTGCTACTAAGCTACATCCCCAGACACCCTGAGCTTTCTTAATAACAGGTTTTTCATTTTTGTTATTTACATTAAAGAATCATTCACTCATTAAGCCTCTTTCAGCTGATAACCACTTTAGAGTGAAGGCCTATAGTGCTGTCCCAACTCAGGCACATAGTGGTAATGAATTTTATGAAGCTCAGGCCTAATATAGAGAGCACCAGCACATATCTCACATTTATGCTGCTGCTGTGGTCTGAGACAATTCAGGTCAAATGCCTGAAACAAAGGGCTGGTGAGTTCTGACTCGGGCCCATACTGGGAGGAAAGCACACACTGGCAATGAGAAAAACTATACAGCTTTACTGTGACTTTTCTTTACAGGACTTCTCATCCTACTTATCCTCTGATGGACTACATCTATCACCAAAGGGAAATGAATTTTTGTTTTTACACCTCTGGCCTCTGATAGAGAAGAAGGTCTCTTCTCTGCCTTTGCTGCTTCCTTACTGGAAGGATGTAGCAGAAGCACAACCTGAACTAAGTCTACTGGGAGATGGAGACCATTAGTCAATTCTAGGAAATGCAAGTCTGGTTGTTAATTTATAGATTGAAGTTGGTGATTATAACACATAGATTCCAAGGCAATTGAGTGCAGAATATTTTTTTCTCAAGCTTAAAATTCCTCCTCACTATGCTGGACCAAAACACCAATTTTTGCCACTAATGTTTATAATAAAAGTTTTGAGATTCTTCAGGGAAGCTTTGTAGTTGAGCACATTCTGTTTTGATAAACGTTTATTGACTGGTGCAAGTATCATCAGTGCCATCCTGAGCAGTTTGTTAATCCTATACATGGCAAAAAAAGGAAACACAATTTTTGTTTTAAAAAGTCACAATTTTATTTAAAAAAAAAAGTTTTCTTACATTCTGCTGAGAACCGTTTCACTCATACATACACCCACTCACCTTGTATCAAATTATGAACTAAAATATAAGACTATCCTGACAAGTTAAAAGATAGCAAATACCATAAGGTACAAATTCAAGTATTAGTGTAACAAATAACATTGAGTAACACATGTCCTTACAGGAGAAGAAAGCATGATTTGTCACAAGTTTGGTTAACTGCCCTCAAAATTTACAAGTCATCTTGGTTAAAATGTGTTGTCTGGTAAGCACATTTTAGTTCACAGGAGAAAACAAGTAATTTTATGAAGATCAGAATTCAGGCTATGATTTTTTTTTTTTTTTTAATCCTTCACACGGTAACAACAGACCATCCAGAATCCTGAAGCACTTGGCAAGAAGTCATGTGACCATCTACTTGTGGGTAATTAAAAAGGGTTTCTGAAGTATCAGGTCTGGTAGGGCCAGACCCCTGCCCCAGGACAGGCAGTGTTCCCTTTCCTGGCTTGTCACATCTCAGCATATTCAAAACAACCTGTTCTTTGGTTAAAAGTATCTCATTTACCCTCTTGTCCACTAACTTAACAATAGGCAACTGTGTTTTTTTGGATCATATTTTGTAGTACTGTGGATAAAGAATTTTTAAACGCATAGTAAACAATATTAGGGATATATGAAGATACTTATAAAACACAGAAAAGCTACCCAGCAAATCGGAGACCTGAGAAATTAACAGGCTATGTATATATTTAACTATTGTAAACTTCACTATAAACTAGGTTGTTTTAATTCTAGAAAGCACTAGCCTTAGGAAAAAAAACCCTATTCACCCAAATTATTTGTAAGTTTAGATGTAGCTTTCTCCCTGCTGTGAAAAGATCTGGGTAATACCTAGAAACACCCACGTTTTGGCAATAATAGATTATCTCATTCCTTTGCCTTTACTTGAAAAAAAAAAATTGTTCCAGTTGTCCTCTCAAATAACTGCTAAGTGCCTCATAGGGTCATTACAGTATATAAAAGATCAGTGCTGTTATCAACATAAAGGTTAATTTACAGTAATCTAACCCAGCTGTATTTTCTGCTTTTGCACCACCAGGTCAAAGGCTGTTTTGAAACTCAAAAACACTAAAACCTGAAAGTCTGAAAATAAGCCAGATTCACCTGACCTTTTCAAAGGAAGAGGGTCTTAACTAGACAGCACTGCTTATGTGAAGGAAGCTCAAACACATGGCCAGCATTTGCTGTTGAGTAATTTCCTTATTCCTCCCAGTTCTTCACAAGATATATGCCATGCTTCTAGGCCAAATTTATAAAAATATTTGCACGTGTAAGTCAAAATCACTTAGGACATGACCCTCACTAGCACTCAGTTTCTTTGCTGTCCACACGATTCTGACGCTGCAGTTTAAAGGAAGCAGCCTTTTCACTTCTGGTGACTGGATGGTCCGTGAGATCCTCAAAGGACTTGGCAGCTGTGCCACTGTTAGGGAAGGGGTCCTTTTCAAAGCCATCCTCATCCATATGTGAGTCTGTGCTGGGGTCTTCTTGGATGGTGTCCATTCTCTGGTGGTCCAGTTTTGGAGCAGCAGACACTGGTGGCATCACAGGGGTAGGCTGTAGGGGCTGCAGGCGGCCTGGAGTCTGGGGTGCAGGAAAGGGCTTGATAATTCGAACTGAGGCCGAATCCATGCTGCTTAACATCTCAACATTCTGGAAAGATGTGGGTTTTAATTGATGGGAATAAAAGATCAAAGGTTCTTAAGCTCCAACCTTACCCATCAAGTGGCCCAGTACTGTGATCCTTTGTGCTAAAGCAAAGTGCCAGATATCAGGCTCACTCAACCCAAGAAGTTCAGAACACCTTTCAGATATCCTGACAACTTGGTATTTAGGCATCCAAAAGAGAACTCAATTTTAAAGATCTATGACAGGAAAAGATCTGAAAACAAGTCAGTGCTGAACAGCTAAAGCACTCCAAACAGCTGTAGGGAAGGGGAGCCCAGGGCTCCCCTCTAAATATCTATCCACCCAACTAATAGGTACATCACTGCTGTCAGGAGAGTTCACATGCAACCTAGATCCTTTTAGCCAAAAGGGCTGAGATGTAAAGGCATAGACTCTTGCTGGTGTCAACTGAAGATCTTTGCCTAATAGGATCTCAAAATGTAACCAAAAATTATTCTTTATTTTCATGTGGTATACTTACACTGGGGTTAAACAGAGACAGCGATTCATATTGCTTATCCAATTTCTTATCCTAGAAAAAAAGGAATAGTAAGAAAAAACAATTCCTACACACCCACACCTCAGTGGATACATATTCTTTCCTCCTAAGATTAAATGAGGAACTCAGAAACTGAACCATAATGTGGCAGCATGGGAGTGGAGTATGGCTCCGAGGTGGGGCACTTGTCTAACACACATGCAACTCTGGGTTCCATTCCTCCACCTGGCATAAAAGTGTCACAGGGTGCACTAAATGAGAATATGTTTCTTGCATAAGCTTTACAGTTCTACCAGAAGAATAGAAATGTTTATTCTGCATAAATATTGGTATTAGCATGGAAAGGTAGGGTTTAAGTGCTGCTTTTCTAAGAGAACTCTCACCCTGTGAGTAGATACCACGGGAATCTTGAGGACAAAGTCAAAAGGCTGATGCACCAGTATTGGCTGCAAGGGCAGCAGGCAGGAGACCAAGATGGCAATGCTTGCCTTCTCAGCACTGGCCCCACACTGCCCCACCCACAGCCTCACACTCTTCGCAGCTGTATCCACAGAAACCAAATTATTGGAGGAGCTGAGCCTCAATCCTTATATTTCTGTTATATTTCTGCAGAAGACTAAATACAAAGCCATCTGCTCTCTCTTCTGGTTCTTGTGTGTGGCTGAAGCATAACAAGTGACAAAGGCAAGGCAGCACCAAAAATCAGGGTCTCAGCTCAGATCTACTGCCATGATGGTTTTCTGTGGCTAGAAACAAGCCATCATCTACCAACCCACAAGTCACAGAATCTGTTCTGAAATCAAGAGTAGCTGTGCGGTCCTTAGTACAACTTCCACTGTAAATAAAACAGGTTTAACTCCAGTAAAAGCAATTGTGAAGGACACAGCTCTTCATCACCTCAAGAAAGCCCTGCTGTAGCAGAAATGGTCCCCAGAGAGTTTGCTCCTATACCATACCATCATGCTGTCTGCCCTAAGGAAAAGCTGTTCAGTGAGGTACCTGCTAAGTCTGAGAACCCAGTAGGAATGAAAAGCACCTTTGCCATGTGAGCTAGCTATGCTAGAACTCTTCAGCTCACAGGAGCAGAGTGAGCATGAGTCAGAGAATAAGTCTGGAAGTCTGAATCTGACTTCCTCATCTCTATAGCACAGAGCCCCCATTCCCCATAGATGCAAGGTGAATGGGTTTGCAAAGAAAAGTTTGAAAAAAGGCTCAAATTTATAAAGTACCTGGAATTCCTTAAGCAAAGCCCAAATTAATTTATAACTGTTAACTCATTTTGAGCAAGAAGAGGAAAGAATGCTCCTTCTTACTTTTGGAAAGATGTAAATACCCTATACAATGCTAGGAATCTATATGGATACTATGTGAGGAACAGCTTTGAAATGCCGACGTTTGATTTTTAGTGTTAATAACTCGCTAACCTGAAAATGCTCTTGTATAAAAAGCTTTGCTCAAAGGTCCCAGGCAAATCCAATTAAATAAGTCTGCATGTAAAAGTGTAAAATACCTAAGAAATTACTTATGAAAGTAAAACACTCAAACAAAATAAGAAAAAAGACCATCAGCTAAGATGTCTATATGATAGGCTCTCCTAAGAAAACATCAAAAAATGTCATTAGAAACATCAGGACAGACTTTGCTAAGAACAAGTTTTCTTTTCCAAAAGTTACATGTTACATGGAATTGCTCAACATTTTAATAAAATGCTTAGTTACTTAAAAATTGGTGACTTACCACACAATGAACAAGAATACTGAAAGGAATCCAAAATATCAAGGAGAAAACCAGGACAGATCCTACGATGTTGTCTGCTAAAAACTTCCCTGTGAACAATTCCAAACATGAATGTCTTGACCAAGAACTTTACAAATCACAAGGGAATTCTCTTAGACTATTATGGCTGGACACCACTACCCACCCTGTACTGAGAGGAACGAACATCTTGCTCCTGCATTAGACTCAACCATTTCCACACCACATGCTATTAGAGAAACAACCTTGGCACCCGGAGGACGAAGAGACTGCAGTGTCCAGCATTCTCCCTAGAGTGAGTAACTATGCCAAGATACTAGGTACTGACAGTGCCACTACTTGGTAGCCCTTTCTTGAGAAGACCATGTTTTTGTCACTTGGATACTATTATTTTTGTGACTAACTTCTAAATTAGGTACCCTTGAGAACATAATACATACCAATGCTTTGCAAAATCGGATGCCCACTTTTTTAAAAATATTTTTTAGTTGTTCATGGACCTTTATTTTATTTATTTGTATATGGTGCTAAGAATCGAACCCAGTGCCTGAAGCAAGCTAGGTAAGCGCTCTACCACTGAGCCACAACCCAAGCCTCTGATGCCCACTTTTATTTATTTTTTTTAAAGGGCAATTTTTTTTTTTTTAATATTTATTTTTTAGTTGTAGGTGGACACAATATCTCCATTTCATTTTTATGTAGTGCTGAGGATTGAACCCAGGGCCTCATGTGTGCTAGACAAGCACTCTGCCACTGAGCCACAACCCCAGCCCCTGATGCCTACCTTTAAATAAATAAATCTTATATCAAACAGGAGACAGATTTACAGTATTTCCCTTCTTTGAAAATTCATATATCCAAGCTACACAGGGACAAAACTATAATGAGTGAACTATCCTGGTCAACAAAACTGTTATATTTTCATTTTCTGCAGGATGAGAGCACGAACTTTGAAACCACACTTTTCTAATGTTATAGAAATCAGCTCAGTTCACATGCCTATATTCTCAGCAACTTGAGAAGATGAGGAAAAAGGATTCCCAACTTTGAGGCCAGCCTTAGCAACTTAGACTGTCTTGAAGTAAAAAGTGAAAAGGGCTGGGGGTGTAGCTCAGTTGTCAAGTATCCCTGGGTTCAATCCCAAAGAGAAGGAAAGGAAGAAGGGAAAAAATAAATCACATCTGGGGAAATCACCTACCAAAAGTATTGATGCTCAACTGGTCAATGAAATCCCAAAATCTCTCTATTACATCCTGTACTCGTTTCTCGCATTTGCCCTACGAAGGGAAAACATACAGCATTATCCCTAAAGCAATGCATCTAGAAGCAATATGGCTTTATAAAAAAAAAAAAAATACTGGGCATTTAAATCATGTAGTGGACTGTCTTGGGCACAAGACAATAATTTCAGTGTAATACCTAAGAAGGTAAGATGTTGCTGTCATGATGTTTTCACAATTAGTCCAGTTTTATTATAAGTGAACTAAAATTACCAGGAGATAAAACTCAAAAGAAAATCAGCTTGACAGGCATTTTCTGGTAAGGATGAGATGATCACATATACAGTGGTCAGAAACAGCCAGGCACCCTGAACAACTTCTCTAAATCTTGAAACCCTTGCCTGTCATTCTGCACAAATGAAATGAAGTTTGTAACCGACTTTGGCAAGTAAAGCAGGATTGATCTTTTCTACTCACTTAGTACCTGCTTCAGAATCACACTGTGAACAATTTTGCAGTCTTAGTCAATTCTGCAAGTAACTTAGGAAACCAATTATTAGAACCCAAGGCCTGAAACCAACCAATTTTACCATAAGGTCCCCACCCAGGGTCTTATCCATCTGAGTTCAGAAGACTTCTTTATAGGAAGTCTGAGCTCCAGTGACCTGAGAGCACTTGGCTGTTTCTTCTTAAGCAATTCCCATACATAACTCTAAAATCCCAATAAAAACAAGCAGTGGGTTAGAAAGACATAAGGATTGCCAGCCATTTGCAAAATCAAATCCGAAATAAGAATTTCCAGTCTGTTTCAAAACAAGCTTTACATAAATACTCACATTCATGTCACAAAACCCTACTGTACAGGGCTTCCCTTTCCTTAAAAATAGGTTCTTTTGCTCAGCGTCGACATAGGGTACACACCGGCCAGAACGGTCTCTACAGCACACCTTGCATGAGTTGTCAGTTTCTGAAACAGAGATAGCACAATGCCTGACACTGAGTCCTCTGCCACCCAGTTTCTTCCTCTTCTCCTCTTCTCTGACCATGCTTTTCCAAACACATGTTTTTTTATTTCAAAAGCTAACACTATCTGGGGTTGGGGATGTAACTCAGTGGTAGAGCACTTGCCTAGCATATACAGGATCCTGGGTTCAACCCCCATACCATGTGTGAGTGCACCCAACACAAAAGATAATACTAGCCAAATTCATCCCCTAACAGTTTCTAAGTTCATAGTCCTCAAGCTACAAGGCTTCTGTTTAAAAGCCCCCTTAAGCCAGGCATAGTGACATACGCCTATAATCCCAATCCCAGTGGCTGGGGAGGCTGAGGCAGGAGGATGGCAAATTCAAAGCCAGCCCCAGCAAAAGGTGAGGCACTAAAGCAACTCAGTGAGATCCTGTGTCTAAATAAAAAACAAAATAGGGCTGGGGATGTGGCTCAGTGGTTGAGTGCCCCTGAGTTCAATCCCCAGCAGACCCCCCCGCCCGAAAAAAAAAAGGCCCTCTTAAAAGACAAGGATAAAGTATTCCCTCTGCTCAAGCCCTTCATAATAACCCTCCCCTTCTGGACAGGGATACTCAACCACCAAGCTACATTCCTTAGTCCTCTGTATTTTTAGTTTGAGACGGGTTTTACTAAGTTGCTGAGGTTGGCCATGAACCTGTGATACTCCTGCCTTAGCTTCCTGAGTCATTAGGATTATAGGCATGTGTAATTGTGCTCAGAAATACTCTTAAAATGTGTCCCTTTGACCTAACATTCTTGTTACCTTGCAGATTTTAATCCCTGGATTCTCAGGGTTATGTGTGTTTTGTTTTGACAGTAATGGGGATTGACCCTAAAGATGCATAACCACTGACCTACATCCTCTGTCCTTTTTAAAAAAAAAAAAAAAAATTATTTTTTAGTTGTAGCTGGACACAATACCTTTATTTATTTTTATGTGGTGCTGAGGATCGAACCCAGGGCCTCCCACATGCTAGGCAAGCACTCTACCGCTGAGCCACAACCCCATCCCCCACCCCGCCCTTTTTATTTCAAAACAGTCTCCCTAAATTTCCCAGGATGGCCTTGAACTTGCAAACTTCCTGTTTCAGTCTTCATGAGTCACTTGGGTTCCAGGTGTGTGCCACCGCACCCAAGCAGCCTCTCAGTTTAAAGTACACTCCATAGAGCCAATTGACTCCAGCATAAGTGTCAGAACTCTCCGCCTGCAGGGCAGGTGGGGAGCTGAGCAACCTGCCAGTTAACATGAGCCCACAGCCTACACTCAATAACACCTTTCCCAAGACCCACTGTGATAGCACCTGGCACAAAAGATGCCATGTGGATACACACAGAAATAATAGAAATGCCAAAATTTAACCCAGAACTGCAATTTAGGAACAGTCTTAATTTGACCCAGGGGAAAGCCCAAATTTGTGTTCAGAAGAAAATCAACTAGAAGACACACAAAAAGCAAATCATTATCAAATATTTATTGGGCATTTACTGTGTCTCAGATGCTGTTCTTCCAAAGCACCCCAAGCCTATTACCACTCACTCAATAAATCATTTACTTGGCATCTACGAAGTGTTTTCTGTCTTTTTTTTTTTTTTTTTTTTGCTCAGTGCTGGGGATGGAAACCAAGGCATCATGTATGGTAGGCAAACACTCTACCATTGAGCCACATCCCCAGATTTTTTCTTTCTTTTTTTGTACTGGGTATTGAACCAGGGTAACTTTACCACTGAGCAACATCCCTAGCCCTTTTTATTTTGAGATAGAGTCTCACTAAGTTGCTTAGGACTTTAGTAAGTTGCTGGGGATGGCCTCAACCTTGTAATCCTCCTGCCCCAGCCTCCCAAGTCACTGGGATTACAGGTATATACATCATCCAGCTTTCTTCTTTGCTTACATGTTATTCCTTCTATCTGGCAGAACCTCTTACATTATTATGTGGATGGTGATCTCCCAGCCGTTACTATTAACACTATTAATCCAACAGAACTCCCCCATCAACTTATCCACTCCGTGGCTGAAGTGCGGTAGGAAGCTCAGAATCTAGCCAGTTTCTGATTATCCTTAAGGCCTCTTCTCAGACCCAAAGGCTTAAAAACAGAGCATTGAAACTTATTGAAAACTGACAGTGAGGCCAGCATAAGGGCTCCTATTCCAGACTGCTCCACAGTGATCAAAGACGAACAAGACTTTCTGACAGCAGCAAAAATTTCACCTACTGTGTTCAGATTCTGAAATGAGCTCTCTGGTTGGGTTCGTGAAGGAGTTTACTAATTTGATGGCAATGGAATGCAGACAGCTTCTGCTGCTTTTGTGATTTGTATGTGGGAGAAAGGTGAAGAGAGTTTTCTACCCATACCCAAAAATCTTCTACCCCACCCCAAAGACTGCCACATGGTCTAAAAATGAACCACTGGGCAGTTCATGCAGGTAGGTGGAGAGCCAGAGTATGAATGCAGAGATGCGTGTAGACACTGCCTTGCCTTCCTGCTCTCCTGGTCACTGACTTGGTTCTCATCACTACCTTTACCAGCTGTGAGCAGCTGACATGCCAGGTCTCCATAGAGAATCTAGAAGGCAAAGGCCATATTTCCTCCTGCTGCAGCACTCAGCGCTAAACCATGCTCACCGTTGCACGCACAGGGCTCCAGCTGCTGCTCCCTCTCACAGAAGGGGATGCACTTCCCATCCTTACACTTGCCAAGGTCCAAGCAAACTGTATCATCTTCAGCATTTCCTGGTGGTGGACACTCACTGCTGTTCCCTGAGGGCAAAAACAGTGAGCATAAGAGTGACAGGTTGTTATTATTTAGATGTGAGGTGGCCCCCAAAAGCTCATGAGTGAGACAATGCAAGAAGGTTTAGAGGGGAAATGATTGGGTTGTGAGAGCTTTAACCCAATCAGTGCATTAATCCCCTGATCGGAATTAACTGAGTGGTAGCTGAAGTGGAGAGGTATGGCTTTGGGGTATGTATTTGTATCTGACAAGTGGAGACTCTCTGCTTCCTGATCAGCATGTTAGCTGTTTCCCTCTGACACACTCTTCCACTATGATGTTCTGCCTCACCTCAAGTCCTGAGAAATGGAGCTGCCCTCTACGGACTAAGACCTCTGAAACCATAAGCCCTCAAATAAACTTTTCCTATTTTAAAATTGTTCTGGTCAGATCTTTTAGTCACAGGAGCAAAAGGAAAAAAAGCTGACTAAAACACAGGTCCACCAGTTCTACAAGTATATGACACATTGCAACACAGTGTCTCTCACGAAAGAAGTGAGCACGTGGCAAACAACAAGAGTTAAGGGGTTGCTTTCATCTAAACCAAACATCACTTATTTTTCAAGCATATACATTCACACTTGAACCACAGTATTCCAAGAGAGCAGCAAAAGCACTACCTGTGCAGTAAGACACGCCTTTGCAGGTAGCATTAATAGCCTCCTGGCACTTCTTCTGGGCAGTCTCAAACTGACAGTTCTTACAGCAAGGACTGTTCCTGTCACTGTGGAAGAACAGAGACAATTCAAATGACAGGCCCTCATTAAACGCCTACAGTGCTGTTACAGCGACATCACAGGAAAGACCCCTGCCTAACTCACCACTCCTGCATAGTCAGACTTCCCTGGAGTTAGAGTCACCTGCCCACCCTCTGCCCCTTCCTAATGTAGATAAGGCACATCAATACCACACTTTAGTAGGAAAGAATAAGGATACAGAGAGATCATCTTTACAACACCTCAGTGTCCTTGGTTTTTATTAACGCATTAATTAAATGAAAGAAAAAACCAGGGTCTACCAGGCAATCAACAGCTATGGCACTAGGCAGCCAGAACCCGACTCCCTGTTGGCACTCATCTATAGCATTAATACACAATATATATGCACAAGTTAGTTTCAGTTATTCACCATAAAGTATAAAGTTTCTTCCTAAGCCAGGCTGTAGTCTATCAAGGGGACATAAATATGGAAATATTGGTACCTTCTAATTGTAACCTGCTTTCTCCACAGTTTATGTCATTAAATAGAAACATCATTCTATTGTATAGATATATGATAATTAATTTATATTCTAGGATGGCAATTTTGATTGTTTCCAATATTTTGCTTTTATGAAAGGATACAGCCATGAGCTTGTATCCTTGTTACATCACCTTCCTGTACATGTACTTCCTTTAAAAAGATTCTCTGAACTGTGGGACTGCTAGGTGGAAAAGCATGCAAGTTGAGGAATGTTTTTACATCGTGCCAAACTGCTTTCCAGAAAGCTTCTCTCTTTCTCTCTCATACACACACACAGTTTTAAAACCCTGTATTTTCAATCTTCTATTACACAGACACTGATTGTACCAACCCCCCAGACTCAATGTGGGAGTGTTTCTCACCTGCACTGTACACCTGGTTTCAGTGTGCAGTCGCTATTGCAGCAGGTGTCATTATTCAGGTACATGATGCCGGGGTCACATTCTTCTCCTTCATCCACCCTGGAGTTCCCACACACCTTGTTGCTCCGCTCCTTAAAACACTCCTGGGCCTTACTTTCAATAGTCTTATAGATGGACTGCTTACTGCAGTTTGAAAACATCTTGAGAGAGAAAAAGCCGCTTTTTAAAAGGTGGATGGACATAACTGAGGTTGTAGTTCAGTGGTATCACACCTCTGGGTTTAATCCCCAGTAATACCAAACAACAACAAAAAATGTCCAAATGACAGTTTTAGTAGATGAACAAGTGCTTCATCCCAAAACACAACCGCATATCAAGGTACTTTGTAGGGCTAGGGTTGTGGCTCAGTGGTAGAGTGCTTGCCTAGCACGTGTGAGGCACTGAGTTCAATCCTCAACACCACATAAAAATAGAAAAATTTAAAAAGGTATTGTATCAACAACTTATATATATATATATATATATATTTTTTTTTTAAGGTATTTTGAAGTTCCATCCCTAGGGAAATACCTAGGAATTGAATACTTTCTTGAACTCTTTTTTTTAAAGTTTTTTTTTTTCATTTTTTAGTTACAGATGGACACAATATCTATGTTCATTTTTATGTGCTTCTGAGTATCGAAGTGAGTTCCTCACATGTGCAAGGCAAGCGCTCTGCCACTGAGCCACAACCCCAGGCCCTGAGCTGCCATTTTGAGAAAACCACACAGCCACCTCCTTTCCTACACACATTAAAAGACTCCAAACCACACATACCTTATTGTTCTCATGGTCACCACTCACAGCTATAGGATACATAACATACTTTCCTCCCTGGTCCTCATTCGGAGCACATTCTGCTAGACCATCAGGATCATGTTCTGCTCCAAAATTGTGTCCCAATTCATGAGTCGTAACAAGATCAGCTTCCTTAAGGACCATGCAAAGAAAACACTGAACATCAGTTACTTCTGTCTGCTGGGCCTACTGAGCCCTTTGATTAGAGCTACAAAAGATAACAATCAGACTATAATGTATTCTATCAATTGTAGAAATTAAGCTGAGACAGTAAAATAATGGGTGACATTGAAAGGAATCTAAAAAAAGACAAAATTTATCAACGAAATAACACAAGGACATTTTACATAAAGACACAAGTCTCCAGATTGAAAGGCCCATGTGCCCAGCAGAGTGGAGAAAAATAACATACACCATACACCAATTACACTATAGACAACATATCAGTGTATCAGAAACTGATATTTTTCTACCAATATATATTCTCCCCTTCTTCCTTAAAGAACCCTAATTCTGTTCTGGGCAGCAATATGCTCAGCTAAAATAGCCCCATTCCTCTAGGACTATGGGCATTCATGGAACTCAGTTTTGTCCAGGAAGATTGAGAAGAAGCCAGGCAATGAAATTTCTAGAAAAGCTTTTTTAATGGGACAGATTAGGTCAGCTATGATTGCTTTCTCCACCTTTTTCTAACATAAGAGAGAACCATCTGTGACCATAAGATGACAAAACAAGGACAAAGGACTTGTGCTTAGAACAGCTGAAAGCAAGTCAGAAAACCTAAGGCTCTGATAAGCAACTCTCAGTTGCAATGCCACCTGGAGAAGACTCTCTGCTTCTCACTGAGACAAAGAACCCCTTATTTATGCCACAGTTTTTAAGTTTTCTATTATTGGTAGAAAAACAGACTCTGAACAGATATATTTACACATAAACAAGATCTGAAAATCTTCTAGAGAAAAATAGGTCACATGCAAAAGCCAAACACTCAGACTCTTTAACAGAAACATAAACACCAGAAGACAAGGGAGCAGGGCTTTCAAATGCTGAAGCAACAAACACACCCAGCCACATGATCAACTATGCTCATTCCCAGATAAACAAAATCCCAAGAATTTATATCCCATGGACCTATTCTTAGGAGGCTTGTTGAGAATATAACAAAACAAGGCGTAGATCAAGAAACAAAACACAGAGTCCAGACAGCAAGAGACTACTGGATGCCTTAAAATGACAGCTGCGCTGCAGCCCAACACCAGGAGCCCCAAGAGGAGCTGTAGGACAAAGGACCTGAGAGGGCAGGGTTAAGAAACACACAGTCCAGACGTGCCTGGAAAGAAGCTGGCAAGTCATTTTATTCTTTATAGTTTTTTTTTTTTCAGTTGTAGTTGAACACAATACCTTTATTTTATTTATTTATTTTTATGTGGTGCTGGGGATTGAACCCAGGGCCTCACAAGTACTAGGCGAGCGCTCTACCCCTGAGCCACAACCCCATCCCCCTTTATATAGTTTTTTAAGCTCTCATTATTTCTCCAGAAAACATGTATTTCTTTTAGGCAGAAATTAAAAACATTACATACTCTTCCCTTTAAAGACCCTTATGTAAATATATAACAGAAGGTCTAACACCCAAAACTCCAAATCTATCCTTTTAAAAAGATCAAAGGACATACCTTTGTAAGGATGGTTTTACCATAATTTTTTGTGCTGGTCAAACCACTATTCAAGTAGATATTTTTCTTCCCAACTGGACTATAATAAGCTAAAGGCAAAAGGAAACATATAAAAATTAAATACAGAATTATAATGTAAGAAAATTTACTATTCCAAGCTAAAAGCAAAAGGAAACATAAACAAGAATTATGTATTAAGTATAGAATAATAATGTAATCCAGTCAGTTTACCATTCCAGCAACACATTCACAAGGCCAATGGGAAAACTTACCTTTTGGACAAACACCTCCATGACTGTTTGCTCTGGGAGAACCAACATAAGCTAATCCAAGAGTTCCCATATCGAAATCCTGATATGTGAAAAGGTGTGCCAGGCAGACTTTAGATGCTTCTTCAGCTATATCAAAGCTAAATTGCTTCAACGGGGAAAAAAAAAAAATTCTGTATTAAATTAGCAATCATATCTAACTAAGAGATAATGACAACTCAATACTCCAGAAGAACACCAAGTCTGGTCACAGTTCTAATGAACACCCCCACTCTCATGCAGCACACTGCTTTTCCCTGGGGTTCATACCATCTGGGGATGGAGGAGCACAAAAGGAAAGGCTTGGGAGCGTTTTCAAAACTCACTGCTTCTCCATGGAGTGTACTGAAGGCCTATAGTCCAGGACCCAATGTACTCCAACTCTGCAGGGGGACTGCAGCCCTCATATCAAAACAAACAATTCTAAAGTATTTCAAGGATTGTTCTACTGGTTAATAGTAATGTATATTTTACTTTTATTTACTTATTTGAGTTGGGGAAGACTTTTAACTTTTTATATTTTATAAGATGAAAGAGTTATAAATAAAAACTTACAGAAAAGTATAAATATCTAGTTTATGTACTAAACATTTTAAAGTATTTAATCAACACTATAAGTCTGTAAAGACTTTTTTCCTTCAGTCAAAGATGGTTATCACACTATTCCAAAAACTTCTACGATAAGGACCATAAGTTCAAGGCCAGCCTCAACAGAACCTGTCTCAAACCAAACAAACAAAAAAGACTAGGGATATAGGTCAGCAATAAAGTGTCTCAAATTTCTACCATAACAGTTTAAACACTCTAAGTTTTTAAAAAATCATGATTTTTTTAAATTGCCTGAAGCGCATTTTAAGGCATCCTATACTCTCTTGCTATCTGGACCCTGTGTTTTGTTCTTGATCTATGCCTTGTTTTGTTAAATACTCAAGGAGCCTCCTAAGAATAGGTCCATGGGATGTAAATTCTTGGGGTTTTGTGTATCTGGGAATGAGGCTGCTTGGGAATGAGCATAGTTGATCATGTAGCTGGGTATGTTTGCTGCTTCAGCATTTGAAAGCCCTGCTCCCTTGTCTTCTGGTGTTTACGTTTCTGTGACACATGCCTGTAATCCCAGTGGCTCAGAAAGCAGGAGAATTCAAGTTGGAGGCCATCCTCAGCAACTTAGTAAGACCCTGACTCAAAATTTTAAAAAAGGGTTAGGGATATGGCTTAGTGGTTAAGCACCTCTGGGTTCAATCCTAGTACAAAAAAAAAAAAGGCTTCTAAAAACATTAGAAGTGAAAGTAAGAGAACCCTGTATGAGAAATGAAGAATGTACAGCCTGGGATTCTGACAGCTCTATGTAAGAGGGTGAGACTTTTGGAAATCTTCTTCTAGGAGACTGGGGAGAGCACTGGAAAGGAGTACCTGTGAACAGTTGTGCTTCCCTCCGGATCCTCCAGAGCCTGAGCTATCCAGAGAACCACAGAAACCAGGAAGGTGACATGGTTTGGCTGTTCCAGTAGTTAGGAGATCTAGCTGCTCACATCTATTTCTGCCATTGCTAGTTGTAGGACTCACTAGGAATAGGTCATTTTGAGGGGTGACAGGTACGGAGGATTGAACTCAGGGACACTTGACCACTGAGCCACATCCCCGGCCTCATTTTGTGTTTTATTTAGAGATAAGGCCACACTGAACTGCTCAGGGCCCCACTAAATTGCTGAGGCTGGCTTTGAAATCTCTCATTGCTCCTGTCAAGGAGCATCTGAACTGCTCAGGGCCCCACTAAATTGCTGAGGCTGGCTATGAAATCTCTCGATGCCTCCCAAGCTGCTGGGATTACAGGTGTGCTCCACCGCACCTGGCAGGAACAGGTTCAATGGGCTGACCTGTAGCCACTTCAAAATTCACATATTGAAGTCTTAACCTCCTATAACTCAGAATGAACTATATTTGGACAGAGCACCTTTAAAGCAGTAATTAAGGTAAAATGAGGTCATCTAAATAGCCCTAATCCAGCATGACTGGAGTCCTTATGAGAAAGAAGTTAGGAAAAAGACAAAGGGAAGATCATATGAGGACACAGAAAAAGAACAACATATAAATAAATGCCAAGGAGAGGGGCTTCAGAAAAAACAACTCTGAAAACACTTTGATCTTGAACTTACAACCTCCAGAACTAAGGAAATAAATGCCTATTTTTTAAGCAGCCAGTCTGTAGAGCTTGTTATAGCAGCTGAAGTTGACTCATACATATGCTGAGCTATAACTCTTTACAAAATAACGGTGGATCTTAACCTAACTCTCAGGGTGGTTTGCAGATCGAATTAGATAAGGTATGCCAAGAGTATATAGACACAGCACATTTTGGTTCTCAATCTTGTTAAAAAATTGATAATAGCCTTTAATTCTATCAAGCTTCAAAAACTTAATTTTAGCCTCATTAGACCCTAAACAGAGAATCCAGATGAACCACACTATGCCTGTACTAACCCATGGAAACTATAAGATTAAAAAAAAAAAGTTCTGTTCAAAGACAGCCTAAGCAACTTAGAGAGGCCCTAGCAACTAGTGAGACCCTGTCTCAAACAATAAAAAGGCTGGGGAATCTGGCTCAGTGGTTAAGCATCCCTGGGTTCAATCCCTGATACCAAAAAAAAAAAAAAGAAAACTGTTCTTTAGCTGCTAAATTTATAGCAATCTGTTAGAATAGCTGTGGGAAATTAATACATTGCCCAATACATTAAAGAATAAAACACTATCACTTCATAGTTCAATTTACAACAAAGCAACAGCACACAAACTCAAGACATTGAAATCATGTGGCAGAATCTTAAGGAAAGAATCCACATTATAAGAATGTTTAACTATCTAAATTTATTACCAGAACAAAAATTTTAAATTCCTACAGAAAATTTTCAGGTTTCCAAGTTATATTTCTACTGTTCAATACACGTGCACAGCCTATTTGATAATTACTGCCGTAAGAGATCCATTGACAAACTTCAGAGAGACCTGAGCTAACAACACAATGCAAAAAAAAAAAAATAAGTAAAATCTATTTATTGGGTACTTATGCTACTTCCCAGAGAAGAGCCACTGCAGCTTATTAAATTTTGGAAGATATTAAGATTAAAAGGCACTGCTTCATAGCATTTTTCCTCTTCAGATTTTTGACCAGTTGATCTAGGACATGGAGTCACTGTTGGAACCGCAGGAGGCTGCTCCTGGTCCACCACTCTTTTCTAATATGTGCCTTCATTAGTGCAGATACAATCTACATATCAGAAATCCCAGTGCTATTAGGAGGATCGTGTCAGGATCCTCCAACTCACCTCTAGCAACATCTTCACATCCCAAGCATCCTTGTCTTCATTTGGGTAACTTTTTGCCATGTTGTAGTGCCTTTCACCAGGTTTTACCTCTTGTGGCGACTTGAGAATGCGAATCTATACTTAAAGAGAGAATATACTTAGAACATTTCCAAAAAAAGTCACAAGACTCTAGATACTAAATTATTTTATCCACTCAAAAGTCTGTCTACCGTGCCAGAAAAAATGTTTTATAACCAAAATTCCAAAAACTCTTCAGTTCTATTACTCAACATTTAAATCAAACTGAAAAGCATGATATGGAAAGCACAAGTAAATGAGCTATTTAAAATTGTTATAAATGTACTAGATTTTAATATTCTCTATATTTCTGTTATATTTTTCCTCTACATTTATTCAGAAAAAATGAGAACTTGGGTTACATGAGCCCAAAATATTTATTACGACTATAGTCAATAAAATAGAAATGAAGAATAAGATGTATATCACTTAGTATGCCACAGGAATAAAACACTATAAAGAACACAGCCTTCTCTTTGTATATGCATTTCAGACACATTCATATTAAACCTAACAAGAAAAGAAAGGAACTCACTCTGATTAGTGAGTTTGCAAAAAAGAACGAAGTCATACTCAGCTTAATGGTTTCTGTGTCTCTGTTCTCTGCCTGTTTGCATAGACAGCCCATTCTGGTCTGCACTACCACCACTTCTCCACTAGGGAGAAGCTCTGCAGCTTTGGCAGTGGGTGGTCAGGGTCAACTCTTAAAGAGGAACCTATCTAGAAGCCCACCAAGACTGCACATCTAAATCACATTCTCCAATCCATCTTTTAAGGATTAAAGAAGTTAATATTTTTGTCTCCTATGTTCTTCAATTGCTTCCAAGTTCCTAAGGCAAAAAGTAACTTTATTTATTGGTTCTTGAAAACTTGAACAAGACAAAGCCAATTGAAAACAAGGAAGGCCACTTTATATGCACCAATATGGAATAATCTCCAACATACTGAGAAATGAAAAGGCAAGGAACAAAAGAGTACAGCACACTGCCACTGTGTCAAATGCAGACTAACACACACACACACACACACACACACAGTACATACTACATACAGCATCTCTAGGAAGGTGCACATGAAACCAGTGATGTGAATGTCTCAGAGAAAAGGAACTGTTTTGACAATGAAGAGAAGTTATGGAGACTTACTTTTCACGGTTTGTGTACTGTGTATACATTACCTATTCAAATAACTTAAAAAGAAAATGCAAAATAGAAAAAAGAATGGAAAAGGAAAAAATAATTCTCTTAGTTTTATATAAATACTAACAAAGTTAAACATTTATAAATATGGCACACAAATTCAAAATTTTTTTAAAAAAAACTCTAAATTCTATACTATAAAACCTATAAGAATATGGTTTAGTACAGAAAGCCTGGAAAAAATAGATACGATTCCCATAATTTACCTATAAAATATCTATTTGTGCAAAACAATACTCAATTTCAGAAACTTCTTTAATTACACTTAGCAATTTGGAAAATTTGCTTTACCATAAGACATAATTAAGATGATATTAGTGTAACATTGTTGTACATACTACTAACAGCTTTTAGGGAATGGCATCTAATGATTCTACATATCAATGCCTTATACAGTATTTTTGAGTAATTCTTCTGACTAGTTAAAAAATATATGCTAGAATTTTTATTAAAGAATGAAGCATAATCAGAGGATGAATTGCTAGGCGTGATGGAGCACCCTTGTAACCCCTGCAAGTCAGGAGGCTGAGGCAGAAGGATCAAAAGTTTGAGGCCAGACTCAGCAAATAAGTGAGGCTCTCAGTAACTGAGCAAGACCTTGTCTCAAAAAATAAAAAGAGCAGGGGCTGGGGATGTGGCTCAAGCAGCAGCACGCTCGCCTGGCATGCGTGTGGCCCAGATTCGATCCTCAGCACCACATACAAACAAAGATGTTGTGTCTGCCGAAAACTAAAAAATAAATATTAAAAAATTCTCCCTCTAAAAATAAATAAATAAATAAATAAAAATAGAAAGAGCAGGGGGAACTATAGCTCAGTCGGTAGAGTGCTTGCCTCGCATTCATAAGACCCTGGGTTCAATCCTCCAGTACAAAAAATAAATAAATAAAAGGAGCAAATGATATAGTTCAGTGATAAAGTACCCCAGATTCAATTCCCAGCACACACAAACACACACAAAAAAGTGTCAAGTTGGGGTTGTGGCTCTTTGGTAGAGCACCTGCCTTGCATGTGTGAAGCACTAGGTTTGATTCCCCAGCACCAAATAAAAATAAATAAAGATATTGTGTTCATCACAATAATACCTTTTTAAAAAAGTGTCATAAAAAGTCTTCCTGACAAAAACAGCCTCAGGGGCTGGGGCTGGGGTTTAGCAGTAGAGTGCTCACCTAGCACATGTGGGGCACTGGGTTTGATCCTCAGCACCACATAAAAATAAATAAATAAAATAAAGAAATTGTGTCTAGTTACAACTAAAAACTAAATATTAAATAAATAAAATAAAGGTATTGTCTCCAACTACAACAAAATATTTAAAATAACAAACAACAACAACAACAAAAAAGAGCCTCAGGACAGAAAATTTCATAATCTTGAATTAATATTAAAACACTGCACAATTTATCAGAAAAAAAAAACACTAGCATTTGAGAATATTTAGTTATGATTAATGACAAAGATAAATTTTTGGGTTTGAATACAAATGTTTACTCCATATAAATTTACCAAGTAACAGAAGGCCATGTCTATTGATAAATACCTGCTCTATCTGTATTCCATAACCTTTAAAACCCGCATTATCCCACGAAGTGTTCCGATAGATGTCATCAACTCTGTCAATTAGCTCTATCTGTGTGTATAAAAGAAAAAGACATTGTGTAGATCTTTACCATTTTTTGCATTGTACTAGAACAATGTTCAAGGATAAATTCAGTTTAGAGAAAATGCCATGGCACATGGTCCTACTAATTACAGAAACTAGCATTAAGATGTTAATCTTTATCACTGATGGCTTTACTCAAAAAAATTATTCTTAGCCCTAAACTTAAAAGTGCTGTTACCAGAATAAAACAACATTAAAGTTTATCCCAAACTTTAGGTAACTGACTACATACAGAATTGAAATATCAACTTTTTACATATCTACCATTCCTTCCAGACACAGTAGTATCCCAGCAACTCGAGAGACTGAGGCCGGAATACTGCAAGTCAGCCTCAGCAACTTGGTGGGTCCTATGCAACTAAGTGAGATCCTGTCTCAAAATGAAAAATAAAAAAGATTAAGGGTACAGCTGAGTGGTAAAGCGACCCTGGGTTCAATCCCCATTATCATAAAACAAAGAAATTAACAACCTACCATTTCTACCAACTATAAAAATGAAATTTAAGTGTCAACTGACTGCCTAAAATTATTCCCTTCTTAGAAGTACTCTGTCTTCACTCTGGCCCTTGACAAGTACCTTCAATGCCTTCCCAGAACAGGTAAAAAGGCAGCAACAGTCAGCTGCTCTCCAACCTGCATTCCACAAAGTTTGGCACGGAGAGAGCAGGAGGAATGAGGTACACTGCACCATTCCTACTCTGTTCTGATTTGGGAAGATTGAGGGAGGAGCACAATCACCAAGAAAGACAAAATGCTAATTACCCATCTGTTCTCAAAGAGAACATTCTAGTGTTCAAAATCCAGATTGCGAAGTTAGTTCTGGCAACAATAAGGCAAGTTACAGGTCTAAGAAACTGTTCTTTGCTTACAAGTATCCATAAGAAATATAATTTTTTAAAAAACTAGACCTTTCATTGTATTCATTCACAGTGTAACAAAGAAATGAGACCAGAGGAGCTCCTTAATACAAAACCCAGATTAAGAGAGAAGCTTTTCCACTGATTTCTCTTGCTAAGAAACAAGAATGGCAATGACTCCTACTATTTTCATAATAAATTCATTCACTTGATATGGAAGAGAAGGGAAAGAAGAGTGAGGGAGGGTAAAAATAAAATGGAGACCAGGGAGAGCAAGGCAATAAGAAAGACGTCTTTACTGCCTTAGTCTGTTTGTTGGTTCATGAATAGCCCCATTCTCTTTTTATACCCTGAGTAAAATTTTGGTCAATGCTGAGTTATCATGATGAATGAGGTCATACTAACAAAAAATGTCAACGAAAAATGAGTTCCTTGATTTTAAAACTACACTATCTGATGCTTCAAAGTTCACAGACGTGATGAGGATATTGCTCAGTGGAAGAGCACTTCCCTAGCATGCACCAAGCTCTGAGTTTGATCCCAAGAACTGGGGGTAAAAAAAAAAAAAAAAATCCAGTATCCTTTCTTTAATCTTCCTTCATATCTCTGCTCTAGTTAATTATGACCATAAAAGTCCTACCTATTTCATGTACTTATGTGATTGGCTCTTTAACATGACATGAACCAAACTGACTGCTCTGAAATATACATATAAGGAAAAGGAAAAAAAAAAAAACACAGGTTCACAAAAAATAGTTTTTTGACTTTAAAGTATAAATCCATAAATGTGATACTACAGGCTCATGCCACTATGGTGGTGATTTTTTAAAAAAGCTTATTTGTAGCCAAGCATGGTGGCGCACACCTGTAATCCCAGAGGCTGGGGAGGTTGAGACAGGAAGATAGAGTTTTCAAAGCCAGCCTTAGCAACAGCAAGGCACTAAGCAACTCAGTGAGACCCTGTCTCTAAATAAAATACAAAATAGGGCTAGGGATGTGGCTCAGTGGTTGAATGCTGGAGTTCAATCCCCAGTACCAAAAAAAAAAAAAAGAGCTCATTTGTATAAACAAAGTACATATTATGACCTTTCCCCAATATGCATAAAAATTCCAATGTGCAAAAAATATTAGTTCAAAAGAAAAACAGGTTTTCATAAATTTGAAACTAAAGTTTCCATGTAGTAATAATGTAAAAAACTCAGAAAATGAAACCATTAAGTTGAAAATTACAGGAAACTTCTCTTAAAGGAATTTACCCACTTACATAAACTTTTTACCTCATGCAATATCAAATACTTACTAAGTAATTGGTAGTGGTGCTTTCTTCCCCTCTGCCCATGTATTTATAAAAGCGATGATCTGCTACCACCAATAATTTACAAGTGTTCTTCATGGGATTAGGATCAGCTCTTCTCTTCACTCGATGAACAAACTCTAATATGAATTTGTATGCACTATTAAATCAAAATTCATCAAAACAAGGAGGGCATTTTTACAATAACACTTCAAATCTAGTTATTCTGAAACAACATTATTTGAGCTTGGGAGCCTTGAAGGTATCTTGAATTTGGAGGAAAGCAGAAAAGCAAAATAAAATATAAGAGGGTTTTTTTTTCTTTTCTTTTTGTTTTGTCATTTTGGCAATGGGGACTGAAACCAGGGGCACTTTACCAATGGGCTACTACTCGATACATTACTGAAGGCCTAAAACACTGAGGCTGGTCTCGAACTTTAAATCCTTCTGCCTCAGGCTCACAGATCACTGGGATTATAGGCTTGTATCACAGCGCTCAGCTCAAAATATCAGGTTTTTAAATTGCAGGGCAACTGGGAACATGGCTCAGTGGTAAAATGCTTTCCTAGCATGCATAAGGTCCTGGATTCAATTTCTTGCCACCACACAAAAAAACAACACAAAACAAAATAAACTAAGAAAAAGTGCCTCCTTAATTTTTAAAATGTGAAAAACTTAAAAAGTGCTTAATAAAATAAAATAAATATTGAGGCTATGAAGTTGTTGTTTTCTAATAGTAAAAATGTCAAGGTAAGTAAGGCATGGTGGTGCATACCTGTGAATCCCAGGAACTCTGGAGGCTGAGGCAGGAGGACCACAAGTTTGAGGGTAGCCTGAGCAATTTAAGCAGAGCCCTAAGCAACTTAGCAAAACCCTGTTTCAAAATAAACAATAAAAAGGACTGATGATGTGGCCCAGTTGTAAGTGTTCCAGGGTTCAACCCCAGTACCAAAAAAAAAGTCAAGCTGGACGTAGTAGTGCAGGCATGTAATTCTAGAGACTGAGAAGGCTGAGGCAAGTTCCAAACTAGCCTCAGCAATTTAGACCCTAAGCAATCTAGCAAGACTCAAGCTGCAGAGGGCTGGGGTCATGGCTCAGTGGTAGAGTGCTTGCCTAGCACACGTGGGGCACTGGGTTCGAACATCAGCACTGCATTAAAAAAAATGAAATAAAGATATTCTGTCCACCTACAACTAAAAACTAATATTAAAAAAAAGGGGGGTGTAGATATTACTCAGTGGTTAAGCACCATTGGATTCAATCCCTGGTACCAAAAAAAAAAAAAAAGTTAATTATACATTAAAAATCAGCAACCATGGGGACTTGGAGATATTTCTCAAGTCATCAATGCCTCCTCCAGACAAATAAGCCTTATGATAAATGCTTATATATCTTCACAGGCAAAATATATTTAAACATGTAGAAGCACAAACATAATCATACACATGTTATATATGTAAGATACAGAAACATATTCAAGTGTCTATGTGGCTCCACTCACCAGTCTGGGGTACTTTAAAAAACCAAGTAGAGGCAAAGCCATCAATACACTTTTTATAGAACTCTGTACACATATAGCTAAAACCTTCAACTTTGTAACACAAGAATTTTTAAAAATTAGTTTGTGTTAATAGGACATCTTTCTTATTAAATAAACTTCTTAGGAATTTATTTATATACTACTATGCAAGTAATACCATCTTAGGTCTTCATAAATGAGGACAATAAATCAGGCAAGATGGCACACATCTAAGTCCCAGCTGAGGAAGGAGGATCTGAGCCTAGGATTTCAAGGCCGATCTGGGCAACACAGCCAGATGTGTCTTTTTAATAGTAGCACAGTAAGCCTGAAGTAGCAGTGCATGCCTATGATCCTAGTGGTTTAGGAAGCTGATGCAAAAGGATCAAAAGTTCAAGGTCAGCTTCAGCAACTTAGTGGAGCCCTAAACTCAGTGAGACTCTGTCTTAAAAAATAAAAAGGGGGGGCTGGGATGTGGCTCAAGCGGTAGCGTGCTCGCCTAGCATGCGTGCGGCCCGGGTTCGATCCTCAGCAGCACCACATACCAACAAAGATGTTGTGTCCGCCGAGAACTAAGAAGAAATAAATAAATGTTAAAATTCTCTCTCTCTGTCCCCCTCTCTCACTTTCTCTTTAAAAAAAAAATAAAATAAAATAAAAATAAAAATAAAAATAAAAAGGGGGCTGGGGATGTGGCTCAAGCGGTAGCAAGCTCACCTGCCATGCGTGCGGCCCGGGTTCTATCCTCAGCACCACATACAAAGATGTTGTGTCCGCCAAATGCTAAAAAATAAATATTAAAAATCCTCTCTCTCTCTCCCCCCCTCTCTCATTCTTTCTAAAAAAATAATAATAATAAATATTAATAAAAAGGGCTGGGACTGTAGCTCAGGGGTAAAGTGTCTGTGGGTTCAATCCCCAGGATCTTTCCTCTACACACCCCAAAAAAGCAGTCAATGATAGGTGGCTACCTAGCATGTGAAGGCCTGGATTCTATCTCCAGCACCTCAAAAAAAAAAAAAAAAAATTTAAATTAATGACAATGAAGAGAAATAGGAAGATGATTGGTCTTTTTTGTTGTTGTTTTGGGTATGGGGATTAAACCCAGGGATGCTTAACTACAGAGCTAGGTTCCCAGCCATTTTTATTTTGAGACAAGGTCTAAGTTTCTTAGGGCATTCCTAACGTAAGTTGCTGAGGTTGACCTTGAACTTGTAATTCTACTGCCTCACCTCTTGAATCACTGATTACACGGGTGCACCACAACATCCAGCTTGTCATGCTCTTTATATGACTCTAAATAGATCTGTCCCAAAGCTGATAACCTTCCTGGTATTCTACACAATTCAGATTTCTCTTCTTGCCCAACTAATTAACCTATAGTTTCTCTAAAGTATTATTTTGACACTTCTAAGTACCTTCAAATAAAGAATTTTCACTCAGATCATTTAATTTCCCAATCCCCAATCTCTTTTTAAGACCAATCATTGTTGCTCCTGTTATACTCCAACATTACAGAAAAAGAATTGTAAGAATTTCTGAACAACTCTATTTTTAAACCAAATACTACAGTTACTTGATACTTTTCTTTTTTAATCAAAAACCACTCCTATCAAAGACACCTGTAATATGCTTGTCATTCAAAAATACAAGTATGGCTTCTTTTTGTTTTTGTTTTTTGCAGTACAAGGGATTGAACATGTTAGACAAGTGCCCTTCCACGGAGCTACATCCCAGTTTGTTAACATTCTATTTATTTATATAGAGACAGGGTCTCCCAAGTTTGCCCAAACTAGCCTAAGACAGCTGAAAATATGGGCATATGTCCCCACACCCAGCTCAAAATATATTTTTAATCTTACCTTCAGGTGGCTCTCTGTCTACCAGTCCTTTTGGAAGCAACTCTTCATTATCCACTTTTAAATAACCACATACTTTTGGAGACTGTAAACGTGAAACATTCTTGATATCTTCTGACTTATAAACTAACATTCTTTTGTCCTCAGTATCATTAACAAATCTCCAAAGTGGCTAAAACACAAAGTATACATGTCAAGATGGAAAAAATAAAAACTCCTAAATATTAAATTCTTACAATGTTCTATTTTTTAATATTTTTTTTTAGTTGTAGATGGACACAATACCTTTATTTTTTATTTACTTTTATGTTGTGCTGAGGATGGAACCCAGGGCTTTATACATGCTAGGCAAGCGCTCTGCCACTGAGCCACAATCCCAGCCCTCTTACAACATTCTTTGCTTGTTCTTAGATAACATTTAAGTAAACTGGACATTTTACCCAAAATAAATCATTTCTATTTTTATCACATGGATTTCTATGCGAATAAATTCATATCCCTCATTATTTTATCTGTACATGGGGAAAAGCATTAATTTGTGAAAGTTACAAAATCTTTTAGAAGATCCAGAAAAAAATATGCTTGTACTTTTCCATTAATTCATTCAAAAATTTCTAAGTAATGCCAACTGTATACTGGCACTGTTAGAAGGCATACTAATTTTGCAATAAGTCAGACAAGATTTCTGTGAATGTGGAATTTCCATTTTAGTTTCCTTTAACATTCAGATATTTGATATGTCTGTCATACTAATTTTTTTAAATATCTGTTTTAAATGTGGATGGACCTTTATTTTATTCACTTATTTTTATGTGGTGCTGAGAATCAAACCCAGTGCCTCACACATGCTAGGCAAGCGCTCCACCACTGAGCCACAACTCCAGCCCCCATACTAGATTTCATGAATAAAAAAGGAAATAAAAAGATTTTTAAAGAGAGATGACTAAAAACTTGCAACAATATGCCTGAAATTTCTTAGTTTCAGGAAAGTTACTTTATAAAAATCTGCATTTCCAGTAAATCAAACTCACGGGTTCCAAAGGTTTCCCAAGTCAAAAGGATGTTCCTATGTTTACAAAATAGTTATCTGTAAAGACAATGGTCTCAACAGAAATAGGCAGCTTGTGGGGAATGCATAAAAAAAAAATTTTAAATTTTACGCTGGGGATGTAGCTCACTGGTTTAGTGTTTGCCTAGCATGCACAAGGCCCTGGGTTTGATCTCTAGCAATGCAGAAACAAAACAAACTTGTTTCTCCATCAGGGAAATATGAATCAATGAGATACCACTTCATATCCTTTAGGATGGCTATAATCAAAGACAAATTCTGGTAAGGATGTAGAGAAATCAGAACCTTCATAAATGTTGACAAAAATGTGAATCCTCATAAATGTTGACAAAAATGTGAACTTTAGTTACCATACGATCTAACAATCCTACTCTTAGAATTATTTAAGAAATGAAAACATATACCCACATGAAAACCTGCTCATGAATGTTCACAGTAGCTCTGTTAATAATAGCCAAGAAGTGGAAACACCTTAATCGTCCATCAACTGATGAATGAATAAATATGTTATATCCAAACAATAGAACGTAATTCAACAATAAAAAGAAATGAAGTACTAGTACATGCTTCAACATAGATGAACCCTGAGAATATTGTTCTAAGCAAGAAGGCTACAAGGTGGGAGTTCATAACCCAATTGAGTCAAATGTATGAAAGATGATATATCATGAGCTATGTAATGTTTTGAACAACCAATAAAAAAAATAAAAATGAATAAATAAATAAATAAAAAGAAGGCTACAAGGCCAAGGAAATGCCAGCACCATACTCTTGAATTTCCCAGTTTTCAGAACCATGAGTAACGCCAGTAACCCTAGCAACTTGGGAGGCTGAGGCAGGAGGACTGAAAGTTCAAGGCCAACCTCATCAATTTAGCCAGGACCTATCTCAAAATAAAAAGTAAAACAAGGGTTAGGCATGTGGATCAGTGGTTAAGTATCCCTAGGTTCAATCCCTAGAATCCACCAAAAACAAAAACCTCTATTATTGATAAATTACCCAGTCTCAGACATTCTGTTATAGCAACAGTAAGGGACTAAGACAACAGCCTAAACATTAATAGTCTACAACATACTGCAAGATCATGTATTTCTTTTTTCATATTACTGATGAGTGACAAAAGACTAATGGTACATGGTTTGAATGTATTTTTAAAATATAAAATTTTTAGCACCAGCATCCTGGCTTAACCCTACCAGCAAATACACCTGAAAATTTCATTTACACCAACTTTTTAGTTCTCCCACAGAAGATCTGTTTTGGTGATGATTTCCACTACCCAAAGCATTACTGTTTTCCAAAAATCATGGAATCAACTTCAACTCACAAATAAATGGCATGTTCTGTTTTCTAGACTGGTATCTGACAAGTAGATACATGCCTGACACAAATATGGTAACCTCAGTCCTGATTTTGACCTAGTGCTTCAGTGGAAGAGTGGCCGGAGACTGAATTTCTCTACAGACTTACCAGACTATGAACTATAACCTTTTACTGATCTAACATGTCCAGAGTAGCTACCCAGGAAATGGATAAATAAGACTTCACCTTTGTCTTTGAGAATGTTTATATCTGGAGTAGGATTATTAGAGAAAAATTTTAAATGCATGAGAGAAGGAATGTTTTCTCTTCCTATATCCACCCCACATGTTTCTCTATCAATTGTGGTACTTTAGAAATACAAGGTGAATCTGATGACAGCTTCCTAGACATATAAAAAGTATCATCCTTGTTTTTCTTTTTTGGTACTGGGGATTAAACCCAGAGGCACTTTAACACTAAGTTACATCCCCAGCCCCTTTTATTTTTTATTTTGAGACAGGATCTTATTAAGTTGCTTGCAGTCTCCCTTAGTTGTTAGGTCTCAAAAGTGCATCCTCCTGCCTCAGCTTCCTCCCTGCTGGAATTACAGGTGTGTACAACAGCACCCTGCTTCATCCTTACTTTAAAAGTCATCTATTTTCTTCCTCGTGAAAAGAAAAAAAAAAACCTCTTTAAATATAAGGAGAAAAGAAATAATTAATTTTAACCTTTGCCATCTTAAAACAACTAACAGAGATATAAGCTACTACAAAAAGATCACATGTAGACTTACCTCTATGTTATATTCTGCCCCATCTGTGTTGATTCTTATTATAACATCATCATCTCCTATATGGGCTAGGACTCTAGAGTTAGGCTCACCTTGAGAAGAAAAGTAACATTTTTTTATTATTAAAAATCAGGTCAAATAATAAACCACTCATTAAACTTATTAAATCCTTCATCAGATTGAAATGTGCATCGTACTATGAATTCTGCCAACAAAAACCAAAAGTCCCAGAAAGAAGCTAGATAATTTTCACCTTGTGAGGAGGTATAATCATTTTAAATCTATCAATTTTCAAAAAACATACCAAAAAACTTGTAGATATTCTTCCAGAATAACTACCTAATTTTAGGTGAGAAAGAACTAAGAGAAGGCAGAAAATATGATCTGTAATATACAGATTTTAAACTGTGCTTTGGAGACTTCTATACCATCTCTTTTTTTTTTAATTGCAGAAAAAAGTTCAAAAAGTAAACTGTAGCCAGGTGTGGTGGCATACTCCTGTAACCTGAGCTGCCTGGGAGGGAAGATTTCAAGTTCGGAGTCAGTCTGGGCAATATATCAAAACCCTGACTCAAAATAAAAAATAAAAAGACCTGAGTCCAATCCCTAATACTGCAAAACAAACAAACAAATAAAAACCTGCAACTGCTTGTTTGATATATTTTCTCAAATAAATATAAAAAGTAGGATATTTGGCTGGTGAGGCGGTACACACCTATAATCCCAAGGACACAGAAGGCTAAGACAGGAGAATCTCAAATTTGAGGCCAGCCTCAGCATGTTAGCAATATCCTTAGTAACTCAGTGAGATTCTGTCTCCAAATTAAAAATAAAAATAATTGGGGGAGGGGCTGGGGTTATGGCTCAAAGGTAGAGCACTTGCCTAGCACCTGTGAGGCACTGGGTTTGATCTCAGTACCAAATAAAAATAAAATATAGGTATTGTATCCACCTTCAACTAAAAAATATTTTTAAAAAAATAATAATTGGTGGAGTAACAGAGTGATAAAGCATCTCTGGCTTCAATTCCCAGTATCAAATAATAATAATAATAAATTATGTGTTCCCCTAGTTTCCCTGATTTAAGTCTCATTAAGAAAAGCCTACTGGGCTGGGGTTGTGGCTCCCGGACAGAGCACTTGTCTCACACATGTGAGGCACTGGTTAGATCCTCAGCACCACATAAAAATAAATAAACAAAATAAAGATATTATTAGGGCTGGGGATATAGCTCAGTTGGGAGAGTGCTTGCCTTGCATGAACAAGGCCTTGGATTCGATCCCCAGCATCAAAAACAAAACAAAGATTATTATTAAAAGAAAAGCCTACAGTCCTTGCATAAAGACAAGAGAAGGTTAAATCTGTATCATTTGAAATTAATTTTAATCATCAAATCAGCCAGCTAGCATGACATGCTAGGTAACACTCATTTCCTCCTGTTATAATGTTTCTTCTTTCAAATTTAGTACAGCTCAAACAGAACCATAGCAGAATAACACTCCTATGAGAGCAAGCCCTTCCCCCACCTACCTACCAGAAGAGATTATATAATTTTGTTAGACTTAGAGAACTAACCTCCCAGACATGAGGACAAAATCCAAGCCCCATACTAACCAACCACATGTCCACTGAAGAAGTCTTGCCATTTTACAGTGTACTCGCTTTCATCTTCACCATCCACCACCACAACTTTGAAATTTTGTGAAAAGCGTTCGGTACTTGATGTCAAGTACAATTTAAAATGCCTAAAGAGAAAATGCATTCAGAGTTCACTCTATGCATATTAAAAAAAAAAAACCTAAACTTTCTTAAAATTCTGGATAAGTTGACAGTAAAAAAAACACTATGTAAGTTATAACTAAGGTATTTAGAGCAACGTACCTCCTGTAAAGACAAAAGAACTCTGGTCTAACTGCAAAAACTTGGCAGACCAAAAGAAACTAACTGGAGGAGAGATTCAAAGAGCTTATATGAGTTTCTCTTTCCTACAAAATTGATAATAAGTAAACACATGTATTTGGATAACCAAAGCAGAATTTTTGCTTATCTGGAAAAATTATTACTAAAGATTAATATTATTATATATCATTAACTGAACAACTACTTAATGTTATATACTCTATGTTAGTTTTACAAACTGTGAAACTAATGCAAGGTTACACAGCTAGTGAACAGTGAAACTAGAAACTAACTGCTGTATTTCACATCTTGGTGCTCTGCTGCCTCTAGCAATCAAGCTGGGTACCCTGTGGGAAAATTCTTATTGCTGTGCAAATTAATAAATAGCTGCTCTCTACATTTAAAAGCACTCATGAGCCCCTCCTCCTTTCAAGAACTTATCTTGAAAACTATGTACCCAAAATTACCATTAGGAAAATAAAAACAAAGCCTCCAATGCAGACATTAAAATATGCCCTTTAGATCTTTAGATGGGGCTTTTTGTTTTCTACAGTTTGTTGTTCTGATAAAAAAAATTGGGATGGTAAGCAAGATTTTTTTCAATTATTATTTATAGAGCCCTTTCAATGTGCTCATGAACACCAAAGACAAAGAAAGGCATGCTATTTATCTCAGCCACAGGAACAAATTTTGTCAGCTGTGGTGTTGAAAATATGAAATGTTGCTTCCCCATGGGTCTGCTTGAGTCTTTGAACTGCCAGGAAGAAATCCAGACTGGAACAGTTCCCGGGGAAACAAATATTTTTAACTTTTGAGCACACAAGGTAATTTTAGTTTGCTTGTGGTTTTTAGTGGTTAGAGAGAAAGAAACAAAATAGAACATTATTTCCTAAAGCTTTAGAACATTTTATCCTGCTCTCCAAAATTGTATCTTCCCACACATTTTTTTTTCACCTTCAGTTATGCTGAGAACTGTCAAAAGCAAGCCTATTACAAAGCATCCCTATTATAAATTCTTATTATTTAGCTTTAAAGCTCTCTATGAATCAATATTATTTTTAAGGTTCTTTCAAACAAGTAAAAAAAAAACCCTATATTTTTCATTTTCTGTTATAAATCGCTCTAAAGATAAAGACTAAGAAATGATAAAATTATGGTTTTTCAAATTTTCCAATCTTAGCTTTTGAGCTATAAAAGCTCCAACAGGAAATGTCAATCAAAATTTACCTTAACTTATCTTCCTAAAGTTATGTAAAATTATTTACTTGTAAAGGTAAAATTTCTAAGCTGATTCTAAGCTGCAAAAGTCTGAGTTAAAGTGTAAAAGACCCGGCATTGTAAAGTTTCTAAATGGCAAGGCCTGGTCTAAAAAGTAAAGACTAGGTATTGTTAAAATTCTTCTGCTACCCCCGGAACCTGTAATCCCTGTAGCTGTTAGGACAATACCTGAACTGCCCAGTAAATATTTCTCCTGGTTCCCTGGTTGTTTAATAGCTAAGGGCTCCAAGTAGCTCGGCACGTAAGCATCCAGGTCCCAAAACCAATCAGTTTAAATGTGTACCCCGCTGAGGAGTGACCAACCACCCCTGCCCAGACTGTTCCCGCCAATGAATGTACTAATCCTATCTCAGAGTTGTTGTTCAATTTTCCCGCGCCTCATGATGATTTGTTCTGATGTATGCAAAAGCCCCCGCCCTCCCCAAAAAGTGTACTTAAGCTCTGCTTGACCTCTGCTCTGGGCTCTGGGCTGCTCTCCCTTCCTGAGTGAGCCTTGAGCCCCAGCATGCTGATTCAATAAACTCCCTCCTGCCAACTGCATGAAGCTAGTCTCTTGTGTGGTCTCTTCCTCCGATGCTCCGCCGGACCCTTACAACTTACAAACTTAAATTTATCTTTCTTTTGATTTCAGAATTTACTGTAATAACAGATTAGTACTAACCAGTCTGGATTACCATTATTTTCCTATTTTTTAATGGTCCATCTTATCAGGCATCTTACTTTTTTTAGTGGGGGGCAGGGGCGGGGGTACTGGAGATTGACCTCAAGAGTCACTCAACCTCTGAGCCACATCCCCAGCCCTATTTTGTATTTTATTTAGAGACAAGGTCTGAGTTGCTTAGAGTTTTACTTTTGCTGAGGCTGGCTCTGAACTCATGATCCTATGGTCAGCCTCTGGAGCCACTGGGATTACAGGCATGCACCACCACGCCCAGCCCTTACTTTAATTTCTTTCAGTCCTACCCTCCTCAAATAATTCGAGATATTTCGCCTTTAGGAAAAACATCTAGCTTTAAAAAAAAAAATCTGATAACATTATAAAAAAAATATTTGCAACTTTTTTGTTAAGTTAGATAAGTCTTTCTTTCTTTCTTTTTTTTGAGCTGGGGATTGAACCCTGGGTCTTATGCATGCAAGACAAGCACTGTACCAACTGAGCTATATCCCTAGCCCTAGATAAGTATTTCTCGATGTACACCAAAAAGGAAGTACAAATTTTAAACATTTTCCTTTTTTTCATAAAATTAATTAATGCAGTCTTCTCAGCATTCTGTGCTTTCCAACCTTTGTGTAATCTTGGTTTATTTTTTTCCTTTCCATTATTATTTTAAAACAATCTACTTATTTACCATTACTACCAAGTAACTGATGAACTCAGTTAATCCCACCTTAAGACTGGAAGCCATCGCATCACAAAGTCATGAAAAGTTCATTTGTGTTTACTATAAATTATTGCAATTTCCAAACTTGTTTGGATTCCCTGCCCGGGCCTTGAACTCACCCATGCCTGGCTCTCCTTGACCAGGTAACAACCCTCTCTGAAACCTCAGCGGTGCCTCATAAATTCTGATGTCAAGATCTGAATTTACTCCCTACCTTGAAACATCAAGTCATGTAGGTCATTAATCTGCCATCTGCCCTTGTATTTCATTTGCCAGAAACCTGTTAGCTCTAAGTTCCCAAGATACTCCTCTTTGTAACTTTTTGTGCTATAAAAACATTTTCTTCCCTGAGAGCTGGGTTGTTCTCTGGCCCGGCTTTCGGGTGAGACAGTCGCTGGCCAGTTTTCTTTGTGTACACAATATAAGCTTGCTTTAATTTGATTTAAATTTAGAGTCTTTTCCTTGTGTTGTGGTTCAACACAATAAGTGTACTCACAAAGGTGAGGTCAGTCATAATATGCACTCATCATGTCAGCTCTTTTTTTTTTTTTCTAAGCGCTAATAACACAATGTAGTAGAAAAGGAAGGCTATTGGGATTTGATTCTGAAAACCCTGGCTCAAATCCTATCTCCTCCACTTACTCACTCTTTGCCTTTGGCTTTAATCTATGAACCTAGCATTCTTCTATGCAAATGGCAAAAATATTGACTAAATAACTGGTTTGAAGGTTAAATAACCTGTTAAGCACCTGGCACGAAATTCTCATAAATCAGCAGACATATTTCCCATTAAATATTTATTAATTAGTTTATTTATTTATTTATTTTTGTGGTGCTGGGGATTGAACCCAGAGCCTTGTGCAGGGCAAGCATTCTACCAACGGAGCTACATCCCTAGCCCTCCATTAAACATTTAAGATCAAAACTATGAAAAATAAATTACAAACTTCCCCATATTATTTAACATTTTATTTTTCTTTTTTCCCTTGTGGTGCTGGGATTTGAACTCAGAGCCCCACACATGATAAGCAAGCACTCTACCACTGAGCTACATCCCCAGCCCAACATTTTCTTAATGAACCAATGTCTTCTATGAGACATGGAAGAGAAATACACAAGGCATACAAATATTTGCCCCTTGGCAAGGATTTTACAGGCCACCCCAAATCAAGCTTTAACAGAAACCAAGAAAGCTTAATTTTGAGTTCTGCTTTCTTTCCTTTCCCCTTGCTCTTACTCCTTCCTTACAATTTATCATATCCATTCCACCAACTCTTATCAGTACAACAGATACAACACAAACTTTGGAATTAGGCCTGTGCTCAAATCCCATATCAACCATTTACTAGCTAAGAAATTTTAGGCACATTATCTAACATTTTTGCGCCTTTTATTTATTTTTCTTTTTGTGTCTTCAAAAAAGGAATAAGAGCCAGGCATGGTTGCACATGCCTGTAACTGACTAAAATAATCAGTAATGTACAGTAATGGACCAATTTCTTTAATGTTCTAAACACTACTATAATTTAATAGTCAAAAAGACAATCCAATAGAAAAATGGTCCCAGAATGTAAAAAGTCAACTGACTGAAAAATAAAATAAAATAAATGAAAAGGTGCTCATTTTCACATAAAATGAAAATCAAAACTACGGGATACCTTCCCCTGGGCTGGTTGATAGAGTGCTTGTCTTGCATGCATAAAACCCTGGGTTCAATCCCCAGCACCACAATAAATAAATAAATAAATAAATAAATGAATAAAACAAACATTCACATCCTTGACTGAATAATTATCCTATAAATGTAACCTTTAAAAGCACCCAAAAGAGGGCTGGGATTGTGGCTCAGTGGCAGAGCGCCTGCCTTGTCCATGTGAGGCACTGGGTTCGATCACAACACCAGAAAGAAAAGAAAAAGAAAAAGAAAAAGACATTGTGTCCATATGCAACTGAAAAAATCCTCAGCACAATAAATAAATAAATAAATAAATGCATTATGTCCATATACAACTGAAAAAATATTTTTAAAAAAACACACCCAGGGGCTGGAGATGAGGCTCAAGCGGTAGCGCGCTCACCTGGCATGTGTGCGGCCTGGGTTCGATCCTCTGCACCACATACTAAACAAAGACGTTGTGTCCACCAAAAACTAAAAAAATAAATATTAAAAAAAAAAAAAAACTCTCTCTCTCTCTCAAAAAAAAAAAAAAAAAAACACACCCAGGGCTGGGATTGTGGCTCAGCGGTAGAGCACTCGCCTAGCATGGGTGGGATCCGGGTTCAGTCCTCAGCACCACATAAAAAAATAAAAGCATTGTGTTGTATCCATAAATAAATAAATATTTTAAAAAAAAACAAAACACACACACACACACCCAAAAGAGCTGGGCATGGTGGCACACGCATGTAATCCCAGCAACTAGGAGGCTGAGGCAGGAAGACTGCAAGTTCAAGGCCAGTCTCAGCAACTAAGCAGGGCTCTAAGCAATTAGGGAGACCCTGACTCAATCAAAATTTAAAATTTTTAAAAAGGGCTAGGGAAAACAAAAAAAAAGGTTAAGGAAGTGACTTAGTGGTAAAGAGCCTCTGGGTTCAATCCCTATCCCACCACCCAAAAAACAACACCAGAAGAGGTATATTTACAAAGTTATTCATTAGAGCACTGTTTGTTATAGCAAAAAAAAAAAAAAAAAAAAAAAATCAATTTGATTAAACAATATCCACTTGTTGAGTACTAGTCAAGAGTTGCTACAATTCTATGCACTGGAAATTATGTGACTGTTTATAATAATGTGTATCTATATTGTCTATATCACCTACAGTATTCCAGTATTTCAGGGAATGTTTCCAGGAGGCTCTTCCAATACCAAAATCTGTGGATGTTCGAGTCCCAAATATAAAATGGCATATAACCTCTCCTATACTTTAAATCATCTCTAGATTACTTATAATACCTAACACATGTAAATTTTATACAAATAGTTGTACAGTTCACAGAAAAACAGAACAAATGAACTGGACATGGTGGTGTATGTCTGTAATCCCTGAGGCTGAGGCAAGAGGATCACAAGATTAAGGCCAGTCTGAGCAATGTAGCAAGACTCTATCAAAAAATAAAACTTATGGGCTGCGGATGTGGCTAAAGCGGTGGTGCGCTTGCCTGGCATGCATGCGGCCTGGGTTTGATCCTCAGCACCACATACAAACAAAAATGTTGTGTCCGTCGAAAACTAAAAAATAAATATTAAAAAAAATTTTTTAAATAAATAAACAAAATTTAAAAAGGGGGGCTGGGGATGTGGCTCAAGTGGTAGCGCGCTCGCCTGGCATGCGTGTGGCCCCGGGTTCGATCCTCAACACCACCTACAAACAAAGATGTTGTGTCTGCCGAAAACTTTAAAAAAATAAATAAATATTAAAAAATTCTCTCACTCTCTCTTTAAAAAAAAAAAAATATATAAAAAAGGGTTGGGGAGGGGCTGGGAATGTGGCTCAGGCGGTAGCGCCCTCCTCTGGCGTGCATGCAGCCCCGGTTCGATCCTCAGCACCACATACCAAAGATGTTGTGTCCGCCGAGAACTAAAAAATAAATATTAAAAATAAAAAGGGTTGGGGATGTAGCTCAATGGTTTAAAAAAAAAGTAGCTATTGGCTATTGGGAAATGCTATGTGTTGCTTGATTGGGCATTGTCAGTAGGTTTTATTCTAGGAATGTACATTTTTATGCATTCACTTTTCTCTAAATTTTTTAGTTAATCTTAGGATTAATGTTGTATGAGAAATAGATAAGTCTGAATTTTTTTTTGGTAATCTATTAGAACAAAACATTTGATTGTTGCTGTTGTTGCTGTTATGATACTTTGTAGTTTGTGCTTTAATTATCCACCACTTTTCAGGAATTTGTATTAATAATGATACTCATTTTCTACCTTCACGTTTCATATATACAAAGACTTGAAGGATTATATAAACCACCACTAAGTCTTTTACTCTTCTTATTACTGATCCTAACTATGCCTTTTCAAACTCTACCCAGGTTTGCCATCTGTCTCTAATATCAGACACTTACAGAACTTTTAAAAAATAATGCACCAGAAACCATAGATCAGAGACTGATAAGACTTAATGGGTAAGATGGATCTGAACACTAGGCCCCAGGGTTCAGAAATAATCACATGTGTGAATAAGGAAAGACAATATAACCACCAAAATCCCTGAATGATAACTGAGAATCAATAGATCTGAATTTTAATTTTGATTCTGCAGCAGCATTAGCAATCTAAGCTACTATTTCAGAGAAAGTATAAAATACAGCACTGAAACAAGGAAAAAAAAAAAACTTGCCTAACGTAAGCAAGGCCCTAGGTTTGACCTCCAACACCACAAAAAAATTAATAGATAAAACAAATAAATACAATACTATATTGTTAGGGAATAATGACAGGAAAATCTGTATATACTCAATACAAACAAAATTTCTTTCTAAGAGTTTTGATCAATAGTTGGTTTAATCCATGCACACAGAATTCAGATATGGAAGACCAGCTATACCTACACATAACATGTGCACAAAAGATTCATGCGCCAAAAAACTACAATAAAAATTTTTAGAAGTTTACACAGGATGTATGGTCATGAAAATGTGAATATAATTTAAAAAAACTGAAAAACATTAAAATCTCTCTAGTATTTTTATATTTTGGAGTGCTGGGGATGGAAACCAGGCCTCTCACATGCTAGGCAAATGTTCCACCACTGAAATACATCCCAGCCTGTATGTTGTTTGTTTGTTTGTTTTTTGGTACTGGAGACTTAACCCAGGGAATATATACCACTGAGCTCCATATCCCCAACCCTTTTTATTTTGAGACAGAGTTTCACTAAGATGCTGAGACTGACCTTGAACTTGTGATCTTCCTGTCTCAGACTCCCAAGCTACTGGGATTTCAGACAAACACTACCATTCCCAGCCCCTAAGCAGGCACACATATTACTTTTCCTAGATTCCTTCAACAGATGAATGGATAAAGAAAATGTGGTACTTATACACAATGGAATATTATTCAGCCTTAAAGAATGAAAATTACAGGCAAATGGATATAATTAGAGAATATCTTGCTAAGTGAAATAAGCTAATCCCCCCAAAAAAACAAAAGCCAAATGTTTTCTCTGATAAGTGGAGGCTGTAAATAAATAAATAAGTGGAAGGGGGGGATAGGAGAGAATAAAGGAACTTTGGAGTAAGGAAGATGTGGGGTTGTGGGGATGGAAAAGACAGTAGAATAAGACAGACATTATTACCCTATATACATGCATAATTATACTACTGGAGTGACTCTGTACCATGTACAGCCAGAGAAATGAGAAGTTGTGCTCCATTTGTGTGCAATATGTGAAAATGCATCCTAGTGTAAAATTTTTTAAAAAATTAAAATTTAAAGAAGAATGGGATACAAGTCTATCCTATAAACAAACAATAATTCAGGCCAGTTACATTCTCCTAGTGTTTATTTTTTAATACTGGATAAAAAGTTTCTTTACAGACTCTAGAATGAGGTCTGCAATTACTGTACTGGTTTATATCTGCAAAACATGGGCTGGGGTTGTGGCTCAGTGGTAGAGGGCTTGCCTAGCACATGGGAGGCCCTGGGTTCAATCCTCAGCACCACATAAAAAATAAATGAATAAAATAAAGCTATGAAAATAAAAAGTTACCTCATTTTTTTAAAATGCTCATTTAAAAAATAAATAAATAAATCTGCAAAACAGCATGGATTAAAATTACTACCCAAATCAAGCACATCAATCAATTTATGGTTAAAATAAGAGGAGCTCAATTTTAGACCCAGTCCACCACTATGTGTGGGGTCCTAAACAAAACATTTTTCTCTCTCTCATGTCCTCACACATAAAGTAAAGATAATATTTAGTACCTGGTTGGTTGTGCTGAAAATGTAAAGTATTATAAGCATTCAATTTGTAAAAATCCCTAGCTAGGCGGGGTGGCACACACTTCTAATCCCAGCAGCTCAGGAGGCTGAGGCAGGAAGATCACAAGTTCAAAGCAGCCTCAGTAACTCAGCAAGGCCCTATACAACTAAGTGAGACCCTGCCTCAAAATAAAAAAATAAAAGGGACTGAGGATGTGGCTCAGTAGTTAAGTGCCCCTGGTATAATCCCTGGTACCCTCACAAAATAACCCCAATATCCCCCAAATAAAAATAAAAAATTAAAATTCCTTCTTAGAATCTCATAAACATTTCACCATCATTAATACCTTTACATCTCACTTTTTAAGAAAACACTCATCAGTATGAATTTCAGAATAGGAATCATGTATGACAGACTATAATCATATCAATTACAAATCTTTATGATGTGATTTTCCTAAGATTTCTGCTTTTGCCAAACCAAGCCCCTCACTGATCCAATATTATTTTATAAATAATTCAAATTACCTTTTCAAAGCTGAAAAAGTTAGTAATGTTTCCAAATGTGTTGAGGCTTGCAGATCCCTTTTCCTTATGGAGTGCTGCTGGATATTGGCAAGAGAGAGGATATCGTAGTCTGAGAGCAAAGAATCAAGCTTCTCTGAAAAAAGGGTAAAAAAGGTGATTAGCACCTGAACCTACCCATCGGTTATATTATCACTAAAATGAGAGTGCCAAATAATAAGCTCTTTCTGATGTAATAATTATGAAGCACCTAAATGCACTGCACAACCAATAGGGTATCTCTCCCCCACCCCCTCCACCCCATGCCTCCACATGCTAGGCAAGAGCTCTACCACTGAGCTACATCCCTAACCCCTGGAGTACTATAAGAAATCTAAACTAAATATGATGAAGATCTAAATTCTAGTTCTTAAGGGGCTGGGGATGTGGCTCAAGCGGTAGCACGATAGCCTGGCATGCATGCGGTCCAGGTTCGATCCTCAGCACCACATACAAACAAAGATGTTGTGTCCGCTGAAAACTAAAAAATTAAATACTAAAAAATTCTCTCAAAAAAAAAAATTCTAGTTCTTAAGACATAGAGGTTTTAGATGCTGCTAAGTTAAATAATAACTGAAGGAAGCAATCAGCCACATTCAGGATGCAGAATTCCAGAACAAATGACCCCAATTTCTTCAGAAAATAAATGGCTTTGGAAGAAAGGGAGGGGTAGAGACATAATAGATTTAAGAATACAGCAAGCAATCATAATATGTCAATACTTTTGGATTTTTGTGGAAAGACAATTGAGATAACTAGGGAATTCTTAATATAAACTGCATGTTAAGATACTAATTTGAGGGCTGGAGTTGTAGCTCAGTGACAGCACACTTGCCCACCATGCACAAACAAGGCCTGGGGTCAATCTCTAATATCACAAAAAAAAGGTTTTTTCTTAAGTTTTAAAAGACAGAATCATCCCCATAAACACATCCAATTATTTTATGTCAATAAAAAGTTAAAAAATCAAAACAGAATCAACCCAACAGTTTTCTCCTTCACCTAAATATCTTCAATCAGTATTCATTCATCAGTCAGTCATCCCCTGCTATGAGCCAGACACTAAGTCCAAAAGCTGAAACACAGCATTAACAGAGGTGTCCTTACCTAACAGCTCATTTTAAGGTGGGAGACCTAGATAGACAATGCACGCCAAAAATACGTCAATGTTGTGGGCACAAAAGCAAGATAAGAGAGAGAAGGAGTGAGTGGTAAGGCCAGTTTTCCTACCAGAGTGGTCAAAGGCAGAATAGTGCTTTGCCACTGTACAACACTATACAAACCTGAAGAAGGCTAAGGGCAGGCCCGCTGCTACCTGATGGAAGTCAATTTAATAAAAGTTTATCCAAGCTTCTAACTTAAAATTAGAATAAATAAAGTAGCAGCAATTTACACACCTTCTAGATACCACCCTTCGGGTTTTTGTTTGTTTGTTTGTTTAGTTGGTTTGGTACTAGAGACTGCACTCAAGGGCACTTTAAACTGAACTATATTTCTAGTCCTTTTTATTTTTGAGACAGGGTCTCGCTAAATTGCTGAGGCTGGTCTCCAACTTGAGATCCTCCTGACTCGGCCTCCCAAATTGCTGGGATTACCAGTATGCATCACCACAATTAGCTGAGACCAACCATCTTCTTTTTAACAAATTTTCCTTTTAAATTTAATCTAAAGGAAAGCTGTTTCAAAAGGGATTAATCACTTTTCTACCAATGGATAACTGTTGGTGATTCGACCTTGCTAATATTTTTTCTTAATATAAGAGATTAAACCCAAGGGTACTTTACAACTGAAACTACATCCCCATCCTTTTTAAAATTTTTTTGAGACAGATTCTCACTAAAGTGCTGGGGCTGGTCTTAGACCTGGTAAACCTCCTGCTCGGCCTCCCAAATTGCTGGGATTACAGATGGGTACCACTGTGCCTGGTGACCCTGCTAGTCATAATGCTCAGTGGCACCAACAGAAAATCTTCAACAGCTTACCATTTACTCATCAATATGTTTTGGGGTTTTTTTGTATGTTTGTTTTGTTTTTGTTTTTCTTTTTGACCGGGGATTGAACCCAGAGGCACTCTACCACTGAGCTACATCCCCCATCTGGTATTTATTTAGAGTCAGGGTCTCAATGAGTTGCTTAAGGCCTCGCTGAGCTGCTGAGGCTGGCTTTGAACTCATAATCCTCTTGCTTCAGCTTCCCAAGATTCTGGGATTACAGGTGTGTGCCACTGCACCTAGCTTTATCCACCAGTTTCTAAGTGTTCCCTATAATGCACCATGCTGGGTTTTTTAATGTAGTATCTCCACAAACATCCCTGAGATATTATCCACATTTTACAGATGAGAAACAGATGCAGAATAAGTGATTTATCTAATTTCATAAAGCTAATCTGACATAGAACTGGGTTTTGAACATTGGCCTGACTGGCTGAAATTCAAGTTTTATTGATATAATATTTCTGAAACTCCTCTAAAATCAGCAAGTTCTCCTAGAACTTTGTACTTTTCAGTATCCTACTTTAACACATGTCAACAAAACATGACCTCCCCTCCTTACTTATTTTTTTGTTTGTTTTTGTAGTATTGGGGATTGAACCCAGCACCACAAGCATTCAACCACTGAGCCACACCCCTAGCCCCCTCCCTCTGAATTCTGAAGTCTTTTGTTTATACCTTTCTTCTGGTACTTTATGGTTATGACATACTTATCTCACCACCAGACTATAAAATGGCCAAAAGGGAGCTTGTGTTTTATCCATCACAGCATATTTAACTCACAACACCCAGCATAGAACCTTACATCTATCCACACTCATGTCAACCAACTGCACCAATTCTCAGTGCTAGATGCTGATACACTCCTTCAGCCCTTCAACTTCCATGACACAGGTTGGTACATGAACTTAGTTTCATTCAAGATCATAATCACTCCTACTGATTTAGAAACTTAACTTCAGTATTGTAGTTTCATTGTTAATAACATGGGTCAATGGTTTTCAAAGTGTATGCATCATCTAGGAATGTGTTAGAAATGCAAATTTTCAAGCCTGCCCTTAGACCTCTCAGTCAGAAATTCTCAGGATGGAGTCCAGAAATCTGTTTAACAAACCTCTTAGGGGATTTTCATAAATTCAAGTCTGAAAACCATCATATAAGCAAGGCATGTTGACACCTGCCTGTAGCTCTAGCTACTTGGAAAGCTGAGGCAGAAAGATCATTTGAATCCAGAACTTTGAGGCCAGCCTGAATAACACAGTAAGAACTCTTTTAAAAATTTTCTACTTGTTTTAATTAGTTATACATGACAATAGAATGCATTTATGCATTTTGATATATCATACATAGATGAGATATAATTTCTCATTTTTGTGAGTGTACATGTTGCAGAATCATATTGGTCATGTAGTCATATATATACAATACAGTAATAGTTTCTGTTTCATTCTACTTCTTTCCTATCCCCACATCACCTCCCCTACCCTCCCATTACTTTCTTCTACCTAATTTAAGGTGACATTATTCTTCCCTAGTGCCTTCACCTTATTGTGAATTAGCATCCGAATATTAGAGAAAACATTTGGCCTTTGCTTTTGTGGGATTGGCTTATTTCGCTTAGCATGATATTCTCCAACTCCAACCATCTACTGGCAAATGTCATAATTTCACTTTTCTTTGAAGCTGAGTAATATTCCATTGAGTATATATACTATGTTTTCTTTATCCATTCATCTATTGAGGGACACCTAGGTTGATACCATAGTCCAGTCATTGTGAATTGAGCTGCTATAAACATTGATGTGGCTGCATCACAATAGAAGAACTCTCTTATTAAAAGAAAAAGAAAACCATTTAACTAAGTTAAAGTAAGGAACAGGTCAAAGTGAAGAAAAAAAACAACCTTTAAGCACAAGGATATTCACTACTCATCTTTGCATTATTTTTTTTAAATACTTATTTTTTAGTTGTAGTTGGATACAATAACTTTATTTTATTAACTTTTTTCTTTTTAATGTGGTGCTGAGGATTGAACCCAGGGCCTCGCACAGCTAGGCGAGCGCTCTACAGCTGAGCCTCAACCCCAGCCCCAACATTATTTTTAATAACAAAAGAATCAAAGCAAATTAATAACTGGAAACAGCTGGATAAGTTCTAGAACTTCCAAATGACAGGGAAAAATCTGCAACCATTTAAATTGCTGTACACTACACCTTTTTTTTTTTTTTTTTTTTGATATCAGGGATGGAAAGCAGGACCACTTAACAACTGAGCCACATCCCCAGCCCTTCTTATATTTTTAGAGACAGGGTCTCATTAAGTTGCTTAGGGCCTCCCAGAGTTGCTAAGGCTGGCTTTGAACTCCTGATCCTCCTGCCTCAGCCTCACAAGCAGCTAGGATTACAGGTGTGCACCACCATACCTGGCTACTACAACTTTTTAAGGTCTGAAAAATAAAAAATTTAAAAGAGCTGGGGGCAAGGTTGTGGCTCAGCAGTAGCGCACTTGCCTGGCATGTGAGGCACTGGGTTGGATTCTCAGCACCGCATATTAACATATAAAATAAAGGTCTATCAACAACTAAAAAAAAAAATTTTTTTAAAGGTGGGGTGCTGGGAATATGGCTCAATAGTGAAGGGGCTGGCCCCTAGGTTCAATCCCTAATACCAAAAGAAAACCCAAAAAACTTATGCTGTGTTAATGAAACAAAGAGAGATTTTAAAATACACTGTTCATATTGCATGATCTTAATTATTATAAAAACAGGCCTTAAAAAATGACAAGATAGTAACATCACCAGTATTTGAGTATATTTTCTATAATAAGCACTTTTTAAATGTAGCTTCCTAACATACTTTAAAATACTTAACAAGTATGTTTGCATTGCAATTTTTTCTCTTTTAATGAGTAGATAACCCAAATTGGATGTCCTGGAGCCATCACAAACCACCTAGTAAAAACAGATCTCTCTTTGGAGCCAAATTAGAGCTATATACTGCTCTTGAAATTGTCTTCTCACTAGCAAGTGAGAAGTGTGGAAAATGTGCCAGAGCGGAAAAAAACTGGAATCTGGGAATCAATAAGACGCTGAGCAAACCAAATGGAG